ACGTATTCAAATGCGACCTTCCTCCAGATTGGTAAACGATAAACTTGGTTTTCTGTCCCACCATGAAGACGCGTTAAAAGTGCAGGTGTAGCTCCATTTATATTTAACCTCGGTAATATTTGTGCTCACAATTATTTTCTAGATTCTTTATCCACTGGGACTCATTGTATAGGACTCTGCGTGAACCCACAGAGGTCTTGGCGTTGTAGGAACAGATGAGTCACTGAACTACCGGGAATCGAACTCAGATTTTACAGTTCATAGCCTAGTTATCTTAATGACTGTTAGGTATTGATGATTGTTTACTGGTGACACAGATCGGGGAAAATTAAAATTGATCAATTTTTAATTTGATTAAATACGAAATTATGCTGACATAAATCTTATATATAAGATATCTCTCTGAAACAACTTTAATTACTTTGTTTTAATTGTGTTCTGTATTGTCATGCTGTTTATATATGTACCGTCATTGTTGATAAGACGACATATTTAAAGATGTAATTAATATTATATTATAATTCCAGAAGATATTTAAATATATTTTTAATAACATTTACTTCCGGCATCAGCATTAATTAATATTAATTTCTTTTCCAATAAATTTATTTTTTAATCTTGTGGTTGAAGTTATGTACTTTCTCCAACAACAGAAATTAAAACAGTTGAAAACCATCGGCCGTGTCAGTGGCGTTTTTGCAAAGTTGTTTCCCGCTAGAGTCAAAATTATCTTTCTTGTATTTCGTTAAATTTTGATAATATCGATAAGTGTTTCAAACAAACATTGTTTATTTTCGTGAGAACTATCCATTTTGCTACAAAAATGTTTACAACAAGCGTGAGAACTATCCATTTTGCTACAAAATTTTTTACAACAATCTCTTTCTAAAAACCAATAAAGCTGTAATCTATTTGAACCTCTTTTAGAGTATATATTTAAATTATGCGAATTAACTTAAATCCTACAGACGTCTTAATGTAGACCACAAATGCCAAATTTAATCGAAATGCAGCAAGTAGTATCGGGAGTAAAACACGCAGTCGTACAGACATGGGCCAACCATGGATTAATTTTTTATCCGCACTGTACAAAGCTTTGACTACATTTTTTCGTGTAATATATTATTAGTTGCCAAGCTCAGTAGTAGCTCCAATTATAATGAACCAATTCCACCCACTACTTCGCTCCCGATTCATTATTTACTCTCTTCCTCTCATTTGACACGAAAGGTCTGAGATACTGAAAAAAACATCGTTAAATAAACTATAAATTAATAAATTATCATCTGCATAAAAGTCTCGAAATCGAACCCGAGACCCCAGGATTACAAGGCCAGCGTTCTAACCGCTAGACCACCTCATCTTATTATTATTTAGTGTTCTGTCTGAGGAGAGGTCCATATGAACAGGATCCTTCCATCCTTTTCTCGGACTGGGACCTGTTCATATACGTTCTTGGCAGATGATGCAGAAGTGGTTTGCCATTGCCTTCTTCTGTGTGGGAATGGAGTAATTGTTGGGATGCCACGGAGAAACCAGGGAAGCCCCCGGAGGAAAACTCCGTGTTGCCTAGACCACGGCCTTGCCTAACACAAGTTATAAATTCGAACCCGAGACCCCAGGATTACAAGGCCAGCGTTCTAACCGCTAGACCACCGTGGCGTTTAGATTTATAGTAGCGGATTACAATGTAATCGGAGGTTTGGTTATTGTGTAAATGTTATCCTCTTGCACTGAATTAGACTTGCTCTCCTAACATTTAAAATTAACCGGTCAAAAACTTCACTGTTTTATGGAACAGAGACTTTCATTAAAACTGTTCTCCTGTCTCTGTCCCACATTTTAATCAACTAAAATTATGCATTTTCCATTTTCCCATCCCCGCTACATCCCCTCCTATCCGGTCCTCCTTTATTTGGACAGACTAATTATATTTTGATAAAACTAACTATGAAGTTCCTCATTATGTAATTTTCTCCATCCCCCTTCATCCCTCTTAGGTCAAGATATTTTTAAACGCCCTGTTCTTGAACATCATCAATACGTCTCTTCTTAACTGGGGCTTGGGCGTGGTTCAGCAACTCCTTGCGGTAAAAACGTTGTTATGAAATGTTATGAAGGGTCTCAGCTGACTACAACTGTTTGTAATTTGTGATGAAAACTTAAGAACTATTAGTTTGGCTAAATGTGGTAACGATGATAATTAATACGTAAAAGTGACAGCGAAACAGATTTAGATTATAAGTCTGCAGTGTATTCTCATCCAAGGCGAAGTAAAATTAGTCTGAGATTGAAATAAAAATCGGTGGTCAGATGTAGAACTAACAGTGCGCCAATTACGAGCTGGGGGTTAATTTTCTACAGCTGACCCCGGACTCTGTGACCTAATTGACGTTCTGCAACAACCGCTGACCTGCGCAGTGGAAGGTAGCGTCAGCTCGGGATATCCGAAGGAGCGTATGTTTTTTTTTTCTTTCAAAAACATTATATGGACAAATAAATTTGCTTGTGCATATATTATTTAATTAATATTATTCTACTGAATAAAAATTTTCTTGGATATTATTCATCGTCTAGTAAATATAAAACGTAAAACGACGTTTCGGAGATGGGACTCTATCTCCGTCTTCAGAGGAACCTGAAGACGGAGATAGAGTCCCATCTCCGAAACGTCGTTTTACGTTTTATATTTTATATTTTACTATACGATGGATAATAACCAAGAAAATTTTTATTCAATTGACTCTTCACCATCGTCAAGAAGTTTTAGATTAGATAATCTTATTCTCCTGCCTTAGTCATATCGCATTGAATGAGAGTGGCAGATAAGAATTTTAAAGGAAGCTGTCTCATGACCTATTTTAAGGTAGCGTTCCAGCATTAACATCAATGAATCGGGAAAACATTAAAATTAAATCAGAATATTACTGAGTCCGTACCTCTGAAATACGCGGTACCAGCGCTGACCACGTGCCTTGAGAAGAACGTTGTAGTTTGAATCCCAAGAGGTTACAAGAAACCAAATCGGTTCTCGAGTTGTGCGCAGGCTGTAGATCGCGGTACGAACCATTTGTATCATTGACTGCTATAACATCTGATAAATCTGTGGAGCCAGCCACGTTTGTTGCTTCCCAACCATAATTGGGTCTGTCTTAAGTCTGGTAGTAATATTGTGTCATGTTACTCTTCACAAATATAAAACCTGTTCGAATAAAACACGGTCTATTGGAACTAATTAATGTTACTTAATGGTATTCACTTAAGACTACGTGTTTCGGAAATTATATTTCCATCATCAAGAAATAAATATTAAGTCATTTGTCTCATATGCGTGTCTGAAAGGTGACATTTGAGATAACTTCCAAGTTACTGGTAACTCAGTAGATATTTTAGCTGTTAGGGTGACTTTTTCGTTATTTGTTGGGGGGGGTGGATTTACTAACTTTTCCATGCTAAGTTCATAGCCCACATTCCATCATCAAATAAATAAAGTAGACTTATTTGATCCAAATGCTGTATTTGTGTACGTCCTTTTAAATTTTGAAGTAGGCTGATTTTTACGAAATTTGGCATGGACGTTATGGCACTTGAGGTCACCTCAACCACCTACATTTTAATTTCCTAAATCAGCAATAAATTGTGATGTGGAGTGACTAGCATCAATGAACTAAACATTTAAATCTCAGTGGTAACTATATGTACCACCTACTTTAAAATTAGTAATATTTCATTTTGTATTTATGGGTTTCGTGTGATTAACTATATAAACAGTGACTGTTTCCTTAAATAGCATTTACAAGTTGTGTTTTCTTTGAGGTACAGACTAAATTCTTAAATATTTTTTGGCTGAGTGTTAATACAGGTCCCGAAAATTACATATGGTCTAACATAATCGTTCGTTCAGGTAGCCTGTTTTTTATATTTTTAAATTTAAAAGACCGTGGCCGCATGTTTTATGTTTTTAATATATAACAATGTATTATGTAACATATTTACAATTATAAACAATAATAATTAAAATTAAACGAGTGTGTGTTTGGAACTTGCGTACATGCCAAGCGTACAACCTCATGAACTAAATTACCCTGCGTAGGTATATTATAAACTTATATAACCAAAATATAACATCAACAACACAAGATTTGAGCGAGTAAAGATCTGTTAAGTATAAAGTTGGGTTTTATTTAAATTATGCCCGGAAATTCTTATTAGTAAAAAATATTTTATTTATTTATTTCTGTGTTAAAGTATAATTCACGTTGTGACAGCCTCTATATATATATGTCCTGTTTTCCATTAAAACAGCACATAAACAGGTGTTTTACGTTGAACTGCCGGTCTGAGGTACAAATAACATTATTTTCGACAAGTAATTTCATGGACTAACGAGTTGCAGATTTAGGGCTGCGCAGTGCATCCGATGACTTACTGCATCTCTTTTGCAAAATGGAGTCGACGTAGAGAATCTATCGACCAGTACACAGCAGCTTTATCAGACGTCAAGCAGAGAACAAGCGTGAGACGAGATGCTAACGGGGCGACCATGTTAGACATAAATTTAATTTAATGAAGTTTTCATACATTATGCTAGCGTACATTTTTATCAGATTTTTACCAGATGTCAAACGATGTTCTTTTTCAGATTTTTATTCCATTTTTAATAACACACTCGATGTTGTTCTGTATATATACAATTTATTTATATAATTATATACACCTGAGGATGGTTCTTTTAGGAACTGAAACATGTCGTGAAACATGAAAAATGATGGTCTAATGTAAATCGAATATTTCGATAAAGAACATCATTTAATATTTTAAATATTTTAAATGTTAATTATTGTAATATTTTAATATTTAATAAGAATTTATTGTGATTAGACGGACAAGATTTAATATATACTGAGCAGAAAATGAACTGTATTATTTCGCGTATGTTAATATGAAATTCTCTTGTTTGAAGTGGAAGGGAGTGAGTAACGCGATTCCTGAATGCGCAGGTTTGGTTCCAAAATCGCAGAGCCAAGTGGAAAAAGCGAAAGAAGACGACAAACGTCTTCAGGACGCCCGGAGCGCTTTTGCCGTCCCACGGATTGCCTCCCTTCGGCAGTATGTCCGAAGGACTCTGTTCCACGGGCATGTTCGGCGGTGCTGACAGCCGCTGGGGGGTTGGCGGCATGACTCCAGGTCAGTTGGACGCTCCAGTGCATTCGGGTGGACGACTGCATCTTCCAGAATTGCGTGTCCGCACTCAGACATCGCGGTCTGGAACACTCAGTGGCTCAACTCTTTATATCATTCGTCGTACAGAAATAAGCAATTCCGAGTTTGAGAATTTTACTAAAAGGCTTTTAATTTCTCAGAACATTCGCCCTTTATTGCTAGCCACGAATTATTCTAGTCGTACGATGCTCGAGTTCTATGGAACTCAAATGTTCATTTAAGTGTTCACAAAAGCCCACCACTCCATCGTCAACAACATACGCACAGTTTCAGTTACAAATCAAACATAATTAGATGAACAGGACAACAAGATACTTAGCATAAATGAGTACATGGTAGACCAATGTGTAGATTGGAAGATAATATTAAAGTGAATCTTAAATAGCGTCTGAGTATGTAGACTGAATTATCTGGCTCCAAATAGAGTAGGAGGCCCTTGTAAACATGGTAATGGACCTCTGGGTTCAACAAGAGACCGAAGACGTTTGACCGGCTGAGTAACTATCAGCTTTCTAAAGATGACTCCGTCCCATTCTTAAGATTTTAGATTGAGGATGTAATGATTTATGGTTAGTGGTAATCAAGTTTGAATTTAAACAGGTCTTAATGAACATTCTTAACATTTTAAAGTAATTTATTAATCGTCCATATATTATGTTTAGAATTATCATGAGTAATTATCATCACGTGATCTATTGTCTTCTTCTCTGACCTTGTAATTTCCGATGTATTCCACGAGGTCTCGGCCAGCTGAGCCAAGGCGGCGTCACTATGGGAGGTTTTGGCCAGTCCATCGGCCAGCTGAATCAGGGATCGGCCCTCACTTCGAGCCTCAACTCGGGTCTCCCTATCACGTCCACCATGTCTTCGAACGGTTCCACTGTGTACCAGGCGCACTACGGACTGAACAGTCTCGGTAAGTGAACCAAGGAGGACACTGGCTGTCTTCTGGTAGAAGTTTACCGACGTTTCAGAGGTCCTCGTTTCCTCAATCGTCCTCTGAATCTCCTGTATAATGCAGTACGTAACAACCCAGAAAACAACCATCTTTAAAAATTTATTTTCTCTTGAATTACGCTTAATATCAGTCACTTTAAAATCTGACTTAAATAAAAGTGTCTTAGTGAATTCTGTATTTTACATCGTCTAAACATTTTTTTTGTTATTATGATGATCAGTTTTTGAGAAATTTCATTGAGTTCAAGTTGAGATTCGTGTAAAATGGACGTTTAATTCAATAAATATAGAGGCAATAACTGCACAACCAATGCCAAATTTCGTCGAAATCCGCTGAATCTGAAATTCAACATACACAAAGCGCCAAGACATAGCTGTAAAGTGATGAAGTTTCTAAATATGGATCTTCTGTCTTGAAGTAACTGGGGGAAGAAGATTAATATCCTGGAACGTTGTAATTTTAATAAAACACAGACGATGTCCAAAGTCCAAAATACGACTTTTACAGAATATAATGCACCGTCGATGGAAAACTTCAGACTTTCTCTTAAGTTCCGGAACCATTTTCTTTTTCCCTGTGAAATTATCTCCATCTCTTAAAAATTTATTTCGAGAGATAAATTGAATCGAACGAGTACATTCTTGTTTACTGTTCTCTTCCAGAGATAATAATGTTTCGTCTTATTTCCGACATTTTTCCTAACCTAACCTAACTCGGTAGAACAGAGAGAAATTCTCCAGAAGGTAATAGTAATTCAGAAAATAGATATCCTGTCTTTTATAGAAACAAAATATTTATAAACCGTGACACTGGGCCCTTAAGGGCGTCTCCCTATTCTTCTCTCTAATTATGTAATTCGACACGTCAACCAACCTAAGTCCCTCCCAGCCAAAAACCAAAATGCCAGCTTCCTTCTAAACCTGTAAAATTCGTAATTACAACATAGTCGACTCTAGATACTCTCTGTAGCTTATAGCTTATGCAGTGTCGTTAAATAACCTGTGAATCAGTCTCATTTTCTAATATTCTGTCTCTAGGAATATTTGTCTGTCTGTCTGTCTTTTAATTAGTTCTAAGTTCACTGCAGACTGTCTTTAATGAACCTATTTGTGCTTTTCCAAAAAGTCTCTCCAATTGATTACCAAAAGTAACAAAGACCACGTGTCTGTATTATTGGAGTCAATGGTTCTTAGGCTCTTTACCGCCGGGAAAGGATCCCGGTACCCGTTGGATATGCCCCAGAAACGGTCTGATTCAGAGGCTCGAAGAGAAATAATTTTCCCTAGCTGGGGATCGAATCTCGGTCGTCAAACACTGTACTGACTGCTTTTATGTATAGACAAGATACAAAATTTGATCGGATTCTCTTAAGTTTCTGAGAATAAACATGCGGACGGAAGGCGGATGGACATTTATGGATTTTATGTAAATAATGCATAGAAACTTTGACGCTCGCTTTGTTCCAGGAACATTCCATAAAATCCACTAAAACAACAGAAATGCCAGTGCACTTGACACTAGCAGATGGTTATGAGTAGAGATACGTAAACAAACATGGCCGAAGGAGCTTATTTCTCGTTTAGATCTTGACGACTTTTGAGGAATACGCGGTTTATTACAGACATTAAAAAAAGCCCGAGACGCCTGTGGTTTTGTCCACACGCAGAGGTTTCTTGGTCGACCCTGGATACTTGTGTTTGTGTTTTCGAAGCGTCGCTCGCGTATTTGCATTTGTTGAAGCAGTGAGAAGTAAAACTGTTGACGTCATGCAGGCGCGACTGGTTCGGTAGCCAGACTAACGAGTGCTAATTGCATCCTTTTTGCCTCATGACAGCATGCTAACACTCAGAATACACCAGTCCATAATAATCAGCTTGTTTGTTCCCATAGAGGAGTAGCCCATATTGTTTCTCGCATAGTTTAAGGTATAATTTTCACACACTGACGTAAACCTGGAGGGAAAGCATCGCTCGCTCCTTAAAACAGGGTTACCAACTGCCCCGGAGTAATGACGAGTCCTGAAAACTTTTCAAGGCTACCATTTACCAAGTTTAAATAACGATAAATATTAAATTGCAAGTCTTTAGTGTTCTGTCTTCTGGGTTACGACATCTTGCAGGCCTGTTGTCTAAATATTCAAGTTAGTAATGAGTAGTTACACTAAAAATGGAGACAGCACGTTACTACACCCAATGGATAGCAATCGAAACCTTCTCTACCACGAAAATTTGCCACTAAAGATAATCACTAGATATTAGCAGTTCGTAAACCTTCAAGCGATTGTCTGGCAAGAGATTTGAAAAATATTCCGAAGCAAATTCTTAGCAACGTAAGAGAGAAGGCAAATTTTTCCCATTGTAACATTTTTAATCCACACTTCAGATAATTTGTTTTTTTTAATACTTTTTTATTCTTGTGATAAGGATTTGTCAGCCCACTTAATTTAGTGCATATAATCACGTCATATATTCGATGTGTCAGTGGTAAACGTACCATCAGTTGATAAACGCTGTTTTAAAGTATTTTAATTTCGCTTTAGTATATTAGTATCTGTCCTTTGTAACCAGTTTTTATGGTTTTACCAGACACCTTACTCTATTCCTCTCTTTTCCTCCGGTCCACCGGTGCAGCCATTAGCGAGAGTTCTTGAATCGTTCCCGACGTTTCGGTACTTCTGCCTATATTACTCCTTCTGCTTTCGGGTAGCCACAATAAATTTTAATCCCTTCCGTCTCTGAAGTACGCCACTGCCCTCGTCAGTTACGGTTCTTGGATGTGCCATTAAGGCTTTGACCGGGATGTTAAATCTTATGTGGTACCGCCTGATTCGACTTCTAATGTGAAGTGTTTTCTTCGCGGTACGGTCTGGATTCGTAAATATTATGAAGACGAGCTTCGGCTTCAAAGGGTTAACCAGCTGATTTTCGTAATGGTGAGGTGTAGTGTTTTCTTCGCGGTACGGACTGAATTCATAAATAATATTTAGACGATCTTCGGCTTCAAAGGGTTAAACAGTTGCGTTTCGAAACATTATTTTGTCTTTTCGATTCCAGCACTAACGCCACTCTTGTCTTCACGCAGATCCTGTTTTCTACGGACATGATGGAAACGATAACCTCAACTGAAGACACTGGAGCGCTGTCATCAACGGGGAACACGTTACCTCCGAAGCAGAAAGACAGACTGTGTGATGTGAGCAGAAAGAAATTACCTTTGTTCCTTGCAGTGTCCACCTTTTAACGAGATTTTTTACGTTAAATGTCGTGACATTTTAATCATACCTGTAAAAATTGTAGATCAGCCGCGGCAGAACTCGACGAGATCGGAGACAGACGCTGACAGTGTTAGATCTTCCACCAGTTCACCCCGCAGCGTGAGAAGTAAGATGTTAAACATTGACAAATGTGGACCAGGATGGAGTGCGAATACAAACCACAGCAGTTGATACCAACACACAAAATAGTTTAAAAAAAAAACGAGTGTCAGTCTACTAAATCTTACTCAGCAGATAATCTTGAGGCGATGGGAGTTTAGAAATATCGAACCAAAAGTCGTTCTTCCTGGACCTTGCTCCATATTCTGACAGATTTCTACTTTACTTCGTCCCTTACAGCGTGTCGAAGCACTTCGTTTTTTCCGTCAGTACATAGAAAACATTAAATCAGAGCAATAATTGTATTTGAATGTTTTTCTCAGGCACTGACACAAATGTCAGTTCACTGAACTTGATAATTAAGACAAAATATAAGCCTCCGTATTAAAGTTTATATCATTCGATTTACGTCAGCGTTTTCAGTGCCTTGAGCACAATCAGACGCTTATACGAGATAAAAACATCGACAAGTTAATTAAAATAAAATAAAAATATTATTTTGAAATCAGCGTCTGTGTAAGCTTGTTTTGGGGGGCCCCCTACATTTTGGGAATCTACCCAAATATTGTACGTAGAATTCCAAATACGAACATAGTAGCGGGAATTTGTTTTATTACGTATTTATTGCGTTGTGAAACAATGGAGATCGGAAATGAAATAAGTAGTTGATACAAGTTCGTAATACGGAAATTCTTTGATGATGAATATCAGGTGTGGCTAACGTCTCGCGCTTTTTTCGAGTAATTTGATTCAAAGATTTACGCGAGTCCTTTCGAGTTCCCCTAGCGGTAGCTTCTTCAATTATTCCAAATATTTGAAAATACGTCATTCTCAGAGACAGTGACAAAGATGACGGAAAATTAACTCAGTTCTGAGTATCTCGTGATTATGTTACGGCTAAATCTAGCGATAAATATTTCGACACGGCCTTAACATATCCACTACGAACAAACAGCCTTGTGTAATGTCTAGTCTACATAAGCAAACACACACGTACTCAAGCCGATTTCGTCAACTCGCTGCGAGAATTTCTTCTGTTAAAAAGCTTGTGTTTAATTTCACACGTACGTGGCTCGTTTTGAAATTTCTTATTTCGTAATTAAAAGCCAGTGAAGGACTCATGGCAAAAATTATAATAGTGCTTTGCGGGGTCCTCATCTTAGCCGCGGGAGAGGGGATAACATTTATTTTCATTGCCAAAATTATCATTTAAGCTTCGGATTATAAAACAAATAATCTGAAGAAAAAAATTAATTTCTACTCACATGCCTGGATTAATTGTGGTTAAATGTCGTGATACAGCCCGTGGCTTCTAAATTTTGGTACAGGTCAACTTCTGGTTGTTTAATTCTTTCAAAAGTACGAAATTCTCGTCTAATTAGGTTATCTTAACTTACAAATAAGACTTCTTAAATCGTTCGAAATTTAAACGCGGATGGAACCGCGTGTTACTTAAAAATCCATAGGCCCTACGTAACATCGCCTTTAACAACTGCCGTGTTTCAGCTGATAACCATTTTAATAAAAACTTTTCAACATTTCTAACGGAGACAGAACGTCCTTTCGTCCCAATCACCAAATAATTAAACGCGTAATTTAGTCGCTTAGTGAAACTCCTCGCTTTCAACTAAAAGAAAAGTTTTGCATATTATTAATCATTCCGTTGTAAGGTAAAATGAGCGTTCAGAGAATTAAAAACTGAAACTCTCTCCCTCTTACCAAGTTTAACGTCGCCATCATCTCACAAGTAACAGACGCGACTTGTCAGCGAGAAGTCTAGGCTTATAGCTCTCTGCCTGCCCTATTTACGAACCAGGCACGCAGTTACAGATGTTTAACTCTGTAAACAACTATCTTTAGTTAACCCAAGGTCCACAGATTAACAAATTCATCAAAAATTTATTCACACGAAAATATACATTAAAATTAATGTATTCCAAAGAAAATTTCCTTTATTTAAGGGAGTCCCCTCCCCCCTCCTTTTCAAAAAAAAATATAAATTTTTCGTATTTCATGTTGGATTTTTTTCGTAGTCAGTCAGAAGTAAAATGAAATTCTAATAAATCAGTTGAAATACCAAAAGGTGAACTACGTTTTATTTTCAGTCGCTATAAAATGAAGTCCCCGAATTTTGGAGTTTCGGTGTTACTTGATGTTGGTTAATTAAGCCGAAACATATTTATATACGTCGTGTGTTGACGGATTTTTATATTCCCATAATTTAATCGCAACAGAACGCTCAGGTACAAAGTCTTACAATTTGTTTGCAATTTATTCTGTATTTTATTAACAACGAATGGACCGGTCACCAAAATCTCCTGACCTCAAAATTGTTGCTTTTCTATCTTTGTCGCTATTAAAAATGTATCTACGAGTAACTTCAAAGTTACCAGTCAATAAAAGAACTTAATTATGAAGAATTTAAGTAAGAACTTAGATTTATCCGGTGTGTAAGATTATCTACGCGAGTCGTAAGTGCAAGGCTGGTCACGTGCTACTTCGGTACACGTCATAGGTTTCTGTCCTGATCGTCATTTGTCATTAGTTTTCATTTGGTCTTCACTTTGCTGTATGTGATTGGAAAATGTCAAGGGACGACATTTTGTCATCGACAGACAACATCGATCTTTTGTATTGGCTTCAGGTGTTGAAGTCTTAAGACGACATCTGAGCTTCGAAGATAAAATTTCTGCCACTCTCGTGTACAGAATTCCTCGTAAATGGATATGAATGTTAAAAAAGATTTATATGGTCCCATGATGTTTATCAGTATATTTATAACACAAATACTATCTGAAACATGCATTATTCGTATGTACTTAGAATGGAGTCTGAAAATGTTCTACTTAATCATTTTCTAAATCGATAAATTCGAGGCGAATTTAAATAAATTTCGCCCCTTAAAAAGTTATGGAGAATTTAAAAGATTCTCGTTATCATAATTTTATTTCAATTAGTCGTCATCGTAGATGGCATTATAAGCAATCAACTGTATTTTATATAAGAAAATGAATTTGTACGTCGCTCATTATAGTATACGATTTTCCTGTACAAAGATTTCTCTGAATTATCTGTAACAAAGTATACCAAACGATGTGGTCGTAATATCCGAAGTGAATTTGTAACTTTGTCATATTAATCCTCCCCCCAACCACATTCAGCGTGACTTCACTTGTAAGCGAAATTGCACTGGACACTAATACGTAGTAATTTTGCTCAAAGTTTATCGGCTAAGTTCAATACACTTTTAGTTTCGTGTACAACAAAACCTTAAGTTTCATTCAAACACCGACACTTGTGTTAGAGGCGGGCCGTGATTTGCTGACGATTTTAATACCGTTAATACCGAATATAAGTGACAGCAGGGACGTCCGAAATTTCGCCTGAGTCGTGTTAAAAAAAAACTCGTTTCAGAAATGCCATTTCATATAAAATTATTCGTAAATCAATCGGAATAAATTACACGTAAAAGTGTCTCTATTGTCGCTCCTTGTTGTCTGTAGACTTCTACCAAACTACGCCGTGAGTACCTCAAATAATACTCACAATATATTTTTTTCATACTTCGAGGAAAAATAAATAATGTTTACCGTCTGAAATAGTGTAATGAAACATTTTACACTAAACCGATCACAGCCCCAAGTGTCCTGCCATTCGCACTTAAACACAAAACTGAAACCTAGATGGCAGCACGGACTAAACCACAAAAAAGTTATTGCGTTACGTTTTATAAGTTGACTCAAAATTAACTATATTTCCGTCCCCCTCTCTGCCATTGACTTGGCCAAAGAATTTATGGAAATTTCACGTTATCCCCCCCCCACCCGCCGGGCAGATGGTTTATTTGAATAAGCTATTCTTTTAATCTAGCAGACCACGACACCCAGAGAAGTCACGCGGCATGGATCGGACCTCGTCCGAATCTACCGACTGAGTCCACGTTCGCAGAAACGGGACACTCTGATTGGTAGTTTGTGTGTAACCCGTAACAACGCGATCTCCTTCCCTGTCCATAGTACGGACTGTGGTGAATCCACACGAATCGCTTAGAAGAGAAGTCATGCCGGTAACCAGTCTTGTTTATATATTTTTGTGAGCTGGCTTCAAGCTGCGATGGAAGTTTGTGTGAGTACTCGTGTGATGCGTGAGATTTGAGACATTCATTTAGTTCTCATGAGATAACTTACAGTTCAGAATGAATGCTACATTACGTCTGAAAATGTAACAAGAGAAAAATAATGTAGATATTAGAATATATTGTACAAAGAAGCTCTGTATCCCTGGTGTTTTTATTTATGGACTTAATAGATATAAGAAAGCTTTAAGGTAATAAAACAAATCAACATTCAACTAAAACTTTAAAGAAATGTCATTAAAGTGTAAAGATTTTAAAAAAAATGTACAGAGTTGCTGTATACGTAACTTTAGGGTAATTTTGTGTAACTGTGTGCAGGCATCCAAGGACGCAATTATGTTGTGAATCAAACAATTTAGTGGAGAATGTTGTGGTTCATGTGCAAACCTGGGTTGTGCAATAAAGAATGTACATAATCCAGCCTTGACGCCTATAAAACACTATAATCCTACCAACTCCTGAACAATAACCCACAATATATTCCTTGAACACTCGCATTTATCCTTTCGCCTGACTTTGTTTCTGCCCTCTTCATGGCTTATAAGCCTTATGCCTAGCCAAAGTTCGCTCCCGCGCAGTCCACTTGTTTTTGTTGTGGACAAAACAAAACTCTGTCAAGTTTTGTCACAGTAGTACCATCCCACCACTTCTGCATTACGTGTCATCTGGAGGAAGGATAATGGGTCCATTAGCAGCCCACTTCCACAGAGACATTGTCTTAACCTTCCCCAAGAAGTTTTTAATCCTTTCGATTCCAGAATTATTTTCCTGTAAGCTGTAGCAAGGTATAAAACGAGGTAAGATTTGCCCATGAAAATATAAGAGTGGAAAGCATAGTAATTATTATTAGTTATAGCAACCGGTGTCTCTGTCTCAGACGGACTAGAAGCCTGTAGCGAAACCACGGGAGAACGACGAACCAATAGGCACACTGTCTGTCAGCGTCATTGGTCAGTTCTGCAAGAAACCGGCTTTGGGTTTACGTCTTTCCCCTTGAACACTCAGTCAGCAGCCCACAGTACACAGCCCTTAGTCAAAGTTCCTGTCAGAAGCAACAGAGAACGTCCTTGTACCTCGTCTTATTGATCACAATCTCAGGAATAATCCTGTGGTGTATGACGTCTTGCCAGTTGAAAACGATTTCGAACATCGCATTTCCATTCAACGGATTCTGCAATAAGTTAGCTATAGGCAACAATGAGGATTTCAATATGGAGGACCGTCAATTACTTTAGGTACCATGCACTTTATTAGCTCACAATTATCCTCATGCGGTCATTACATTTTTACTGCATCAGCATTTTGAGTGCAAGTGTTGGCAGATGAAATGCTCTGAGATGGCATGACAACTGCCGGCCAAAATTCTAACTATCTCTGCAACTTGATTTCGTCATCCTAATGAGCTTCACATTATCAACAATGGTAGACATCAACATTGCATTGTCAGAGAATGATTGAAACAAGATAATAAAACATTAGATAATTTTTACTTTGCGCTGGAGACCGTAATACTACGGGCATGGCTTAACTTGGCGTCTATGCTTCGCCCGTATTCATGAGCGCGTTGTTTATAATCACGTATTATCCAAGCTAACTTCCATAATACGTTCAAACTTGCCGCGTACATGCTTCCATCTATGACGAATGCAATGACCTCCAGGTGACCGGTGGGTGGCAATTGACATAGGGCAAGTTGACAGCATACGTTGAGACATCTTAGCATGATTTACGAGAACTACTACTACAAACACTTTAATTATTCTGTTATTATCCACAAACAGGATTACATAACCCAACTCTTGCGCCCTGTTCTATGTATTTGGCCAAGAGAACAGCATAAGTGGAGACATCTAGCACGATACAAATGAACTTATATCATTCACTTCCCTTCTGGTTTTTCTGTGGAATGGTAAATTTAATTTTGTTCTGAAAGCTGAGCGCTTAACCTACTTGTTATTTTCAGATGTCAGTGTTGTATCATATTGTGTTCCTTGCAGTGCAATGCCGTATCGCGCAAAGTGTTCCGCACGTGGGTGTACGTCTACGTACAAGGAACAGCACGTAAAATTCTTCAGATTTCCCAGGAATCTCATGCGGTATGTCACATACAATATCGTAACATAAGCTGATCTGATCTGATGTAATATATATGTGTAATAAAGCAGATTTAATGATGTCAACGTCTGAAAATGTGGATTATGATCATATACAGGACATGGCGTCACAGTGTGTGTAAGCTGTTCTTGGCAATGTTGTCAATATAATTTTGTCATGTAATTCGGGTCTCTATTTAGGCTGTGTATTACCTGGTATTTTCACTGTAATTGCATGATCATCCTTTGTTAAGTCTTTACTTAGTATTCTAAGTTTCCCAATAACATTGTCAAGTTTAGTGTTGGATCTGAATACAATTCTAACCATGTATACATCCCCCAGGATTGAGTCAAGATGGTCATGTAGTCATCAACGACTGCTACGTAGAAGTAGGACCTTTCTACATTTATTATTATTCTTATTATAGACTATATGTTTAGGATCCTTTTTTTCTTTAAGTGAGCAATTCCTTGACGTTCTGACACAGACAAAGCCTCAGATTTGTAGCTCAGTTTTACATCAATTTTGGATCCTCATTGGAGCAAAGACCTTTGTTTCTGTGCTGTAGTTTGGCTCTAGCATATTTTCAATGATGTGAAGAACAGTTACATTAGATACTAGAGCTGTTTTCAGCTTTCTTTTTATCAGTCTTATCATGTGCCAAAGTTTCGCTTTGCAGACTGAAACATTTTGGTGTCTTCTTTCTCTTTTATCGACAGTGTTAGTTCTTTTTGTACAATCTGTATGCCTTAATTTTGAAACCGTACAGTTTAATTAACCAAATTGGTTTCGTCTTTACTCCAGATATAGTTATGGGCCTAATGTTTTGTAACACTTATGTTATAGTTGAATGATGATTTGTTCTATTTTGCCATTAATATATAGATCTTCATCAATTCTTTTGTTGTACTGGGTGTGTTACATACCATGAAACAGCTGCTGCATTCAATGCTAATGAATCGCTTGCATTCTGATTTTATCAGCTTCTAAGTTTCATACAGGATACTGTCAGTCTTAACTCAGGAAAGAGACCACTTGGGTGAGTATTTAGACTATACTCAAGTTATCGCAGTAGGCTCTTATGAAACTTTGTGTTTCCTGACAGTCAGTGAATTTCTTGACTAGCTAACTATTAGCTTCTCAAGAAGGACTGCTTTATGAAGTTATAATGTAATTAAACTTGAGATAGTTTGATTAGAGAATAATATTGAAAATTTCATGACTAATTAATATCAGTTGTAATTTCAGTGCAGAAGACTGGGTTCGGGCTTTAAAGAACCCTAACCTGCGTGTTGAAGAAGCTCATATATACTGCAAGACCAAGTTCATCTGCCATCGTCATTTTGAAATTTCCCAGTTTACTACTCCTGAAAGGTTACGTCTGAATCGGGGTGCTGTACCCACACTGTTGTTACCATCGTCTGACAGTTCTGAAAATGATCCTTCAGCATCACAAATCCAAAAAGATGTTGTATCATCTGTAAGGTTGGTAATCATGTAATGATCTGCATGAATCTATAATGTCACTTACTTCTTAAAGTGCTTTGACGGTGTAACTTTTTTTCCCTTTTGAATTTGCTTGCTGTGAGTTCTCATGTTGTAAAATACAATATTATCTAAAATCCATTTTCTATTTCCTAGGATGAAACATATTAAGATGTTACAAGCCATATGGGATGAGTGTGAAGCTAGAGAGACTAATGTTAAACGACAGACGCATGCTGGTATGTACTGAATACAAATGAGGCTAGAAAGATACATGTCTTAATGAAGAATCTTAAGCATCTATAAATAATATCCACCGAGGGTGACTCCTTCAGTCTCTTTTATTAATTCCATTAAGATGCTCTAATTCAGTGGTCCCATTTGAGAGTTTATGAGATCGTGGCCGGCACCAACCAATTAACAAAGCCAAATTTTCTTTTCTCTGGACAAATAAGATATGGACACCAAATAATACGAAAAACAACATGATGTTTAATGATTCAAGAAACCATGCAATCAAAAATACGTACTTTTATAAGTGATATATTTATTTTATTTCCGTCTATACACAAACTTAGTTGTTAAAATTGGTGTTATTAAAGCTAAACTTTAAAATTTGGCGCTCTTCATCGCTATTACGATGTTACAATTTTACAATTTTATATTTCTATATTTTATAAATATTTTCTATTTTCCAAACTCTTTTTCATATAAATAATTAATAATTCGAAATGTCAATTAATTGTTTCACAGACTACAGAACGACTGATCTAAAAAATACAAAACACGACGAAGAACAAGAAGAAACAACCTACAAAAATGAAAACTACAAAACAAACAAATCAATGATAGTTGCATTAATAAATATACATTAGTTTTAAAGACGAAAATAGCCTGAAGATGATGCAGTTGCATTGAAACATGTTGTGAAATAAAATAATGAGCGCTAAAATTGTAACATCGTAATAGCGATGAAGAGCGCCAAATTTTAAAGTTTAGCTTTAATAACACCAATTTTAACAACTAAGTTTGTGTATAGACGGAAATAAAATAAATATATCACTGAATTAAACACAAACATGACGCATTTAAACTACAAAGTACTTTTATAAGTACAATTATTATTACTTAAGTGGGAAGTTAGTGTGATGTTTGGCGCTGCATTTCATCGGCCAGTTTTTCAAATTTGGGAGTGTAAGATGGCGTTGCTGCTCGCAAACAATCATCAAGATGGGTGTCAGTAAGTCGAGATCTGTGCTTTGATTTTATAATGTTCGTGGTTGAACGGCCTTCATTATTCAGTATAACCTCTTTCCGTATCAACGCGGGCATCCAAAAAAAATCCATGGCGCCCGCGGGCACCGCGTTGGGGACCACTGCTCTAATTATTCCATTTATCATATATATTAACACTGATATTCCTATAATAATTTGTTATATTTTAGATACGGTCGGAGAGGTTGGAAGTAAGCGTCTTTCCAACGTAGACAGTGACTGCAATAACGTGAAAGATTCACAGCCGTCACATGATAGTGAAGAAACAGTGGAAATGCTAGTAAATGAAGATATTCAATCAGGAGAAGAAAGTTCCTCGGACTGTAGTTTGCTGCAACACCCTGGTTCAAATGGAATGCAAGCTGACCCTCGCCATCTTTGTAGAGAGACAGCGACACATACCGGTGAAACCGCAGTCACGTCGGGAGATGTATCTGAAACTTGGGACGCAGAAACTGATCATGGGGACTCTGGTGAATGTGAAACTGTAAAATTGATTCCGGGTGAGCCTTATACAGTGACGACAAATACGTGGGAATATTTACCAGACACGCTGTGCCGTCTCTGTGCGACTACCAATGAACATCCAAAGCAGCCACTTGTTGGCTGGTTGGACATGTTGAATGAAATAATTCCAGATTTGGTGAGTTATCTGCCTGTTTCCTTTGTTTATGTCTTTGTATGATTGTTATAACTGTTTACAAGAGATCAAGAGAGATGTGTGATCTCCAAACCTTAAATCTGGTAACTAAATTTTAGTGCTAAACTTTTAAAGTCTCTCTTTCACATTAACTTTGTAGAGCATTTGACAAAACCTTTAAAGCCTAGTTGTAACTATATGTCCCACCTGCTCGAATACAACTTAATTTTTTATTTACGATTCTCACAACAGGCGACAATTAATTTCTTAAGCATCGTTAACCAGTTGATTTTTATGATGGTCAAGAGTTGTTTTCTTTGTGGTACAGACTGAATTGTTATTGAGACAAGTTTCGGCACCAAACGGTTAACATCTGTAGTTATTACTTCCTGCGCTTCCATTGGTTATATTGCATTTTCAAGACTTATAAACACAGTTTTTGTGTAAGTGCATTATTAGTACAGATGTTTTACACTTAAGGCAAATTTGAGTTATAACAATTACAAAGAAGATACTAAATGTGCTTAGATGTGTGTTAGCTCCAGACACTTGAAAGTCTAGCTGGCTGCATTGCATTAATTCTTTCTCAGAAGCGTGACGCAGTGTAACATCACAGTCAATAGTCTTTTGATTTAAATTATATGATTTAACTTATTTGTTTGTTTTTGCCACTGATGATCATATGAGAGACCGCCACGGTGGTCTAGCGGTTAGAACGCTGGCCTTGTAATCCTGGGGTTCCGGGTTCGATTCCCGGCGGTGCCCGAATTTATAACTTGTGTTGGGCAAGGCCGTGGTCTAGGCAACACGGAGTTTTCCTCCGTGGCATCCCAACAATTACTCCATTCACACACAGAAGAAGGCAATGGCAAACCACTTCTGGATCATCTGCCAAGAACGTATATGAACAGGTCCCAGTCCGAGAAAAGGATGGAAGGATCCTGTTCATAATATGTCGCCAACCTCCTGTAAAGGAGACGGCGTAATGAAGAAGATCTCTTCTAGGTCGAAGCGCGTTTGGCATCAGTGTGCTTCATAGTGTAAACAGTTTTGTTTGTATGCATATTTTATATTGGTAATCTTCTTTGTAGTCACTGCCACGAGAACATCAAAACCTACTTGGACATAGTTATGACCAGATATGTCAGATGACGTGTAAAATTTGTTTATTTTAATTTTTTATAGGTTGCCCTGAATGACGGTCTTCCCCAGCATGTGTGCAGACCTTGCACAAACAAGCTATATACATGCAATAAGATAAAGGCAGACTTTATTGAAGCATATAATAAGCTTGAAGAATCTTTTGGATTTACAAATTCATCAGGAATTCAGTTCATAGATCTTGAAACAGCTGCACTTGGTCATCAGACTCTTAATGGCGTCACGGAGGAACAGGTAGTGTCCGAGTATGAAGAGCAAGTAGTGGCAGAGGACCCTTCTGAGGGTCTGTCTATTGTTACACCAAACTTTCATAATGACTTACTTGAAGAAGAAATTACCATAAATGCTGTTGGTGATTTGTCTTTAAATCCTGAAGAATCTACCATGTCAGATGCTGAAGGCGAAGGAAATTTGACAGAAGATAAATCAGACATGATTGAAAACAACTCGTCTTCGTGCGATACAGTGATACCAAAAGCACACAGGAGAGAGAATGAAAAGTTCAAATATGTATGTGGTGAGTGTGAGGAAATGTTCACAAGAAGGGGAGCTCTGAATGCGCACAGGCGTTGGCACCATACCAATGCCAAAGTGTTTCAATGTGAATACTATATGAAGCGGCGCGCATACGCGTCCCGGTTAGACGACCACAGGCACGCTCGCACCAAGGAATTACCATATTTGTGTGAGGTCTGTGGAAAATGTTTCCAAAACACAACACGGTTGAAGTACCATGAATATGTTCATAAACCACCCAGTTATGTTTGTAAAGTATGCAATAAGAAATGGCGTAGTAAGTTTCAGTTAATGCAGCACAAGAAGGTTCACTCTGCAGACAGAAAACTGATATGCGAGCTTTGTGGGAAAACGCTATTTTGTCCTTTCAGCCTTCAGATCCACATGCGGATTCACACTGGTGAAAAACCTTTCCAGTGCGACATATGCGGAAAGTGCTTTATTTCTGCCGTCGTATTGAAGAGGCATAGAGTGCTTCATACGGGCAGAAAATTTCAGTGCGAGACTTGCGGTAAACAGTTTTATTACAAGCACACCTTATTGCAACACCTGGAATGTCACGGTAATCTAAAGCATTATAAATGTCAGATCTGTTTGCAGGGATTTAATAATTCACGCAGTAGGTACAAACATTGTAAGGAAACTTGTAACCTGCCTGTCTGTATTGTGTGCAAAAATATTTTTCCCACCGATAAGATTCTAGAAGAACATCGCACGAAAGAACACACCGAAGAAGAGATAGCGGTAGCCGCAAAATGCCATAGAAAATGGTTTTGGAAATGCTGTTCAATTTGTTCTGAGGTCATATATGGCAAAGGGAACATGTTGAAGCACATGAAGGAGTATCACAAAGATTTCAATTACACGCCGTATGCATGTGACCACTGTCCCAAAGCGTATTGTACTGCACGTTCCTTGCGTAATCATAGAATGCAGCATAGGGAACAGTTCACTTAGTTGATCCTCTTCTACCGATTGGTGTAGAGGTGGCATAAAGAGCATACCATCTCTTCTGGTCGTTGGCTGTTCTTCTCTCTTTCGGCATATTTTGAACTCTTTGTTTCCCAGGTTTGCCGTGATCTTCCTCAAGACCTTCTTGCATCTGAGCCTGCCAAACCATATCCGTTCTGCATACGTTTCCAAACCATCTAGGTTGTGTGTGCTGTATGGTGTCCGTGAGTGGTATGACCCCTAGACCCATTCTTATTGTTTGATTTCTGATCTTATCTCTCTTGGTCTGCATTTAATTAAAAATGTACAGGTATATAGGGGGTTGGGCTTCAGTACCACAGCATAGTGGAGGAGCTTTCTCCTTGTGGCACCCATGCTGACCCTTCTGCTGCTTCAGAGACCCAGATGTTCGTGGTCTCTTAATCCTTGAGATGAGATTCTTTTATCTCCATTCAAGTTACAGCAGATTTCCCTACTTTCTCAACCAGGTTTGGGACTGTGTGGCAGAGTTGCGTAGGGAACGGCTTTCGTTAATTGTGGGAACAGACTTAGGACAACTGCATCAAACTGAACGTCCGTTTCAGTGTCATTACTGTGACCACCAGTTCAAAAGACTTTCAAACTTGATTGTGCGTAGGAGGAAGCACACTGGAGAGAGACCATTCTCTTGCTCAGTTTGTACGTAGAAATTTTTCGTAAAAAGCGATGTGCAAAGAAACACTCCCAAGGCATTGAAAGAAGTGATTGAGGGAACTAAAGTTTGGTTTTTTCTTCACCAGACTTATGTGATAGTGAAAAACAGATTATGTTTATACATCATATGTATTTTGGTCAGTAAGCTCCTAGACTGGTGTGGGGCTACATCATCGTTTGCCATCAACAGTACATTCAGTGAAATCTTTCTGGTGTCTGTAACTAAAGTTCTGATGTAATTCCTTTTATGCTGCTATTTGTATGAGTATAAATGCGATATAACTGCATGTCCGAGGAACTGATTTTTCCAGTAATCACATTTTCCTCTTCGATATATTGTCTGGTTTAGTTTGAGAGTAAAGTGACAATTCCCATCTCCAAGTCTGATCCACTTTCATATTGTGTACAGTGTGTTGACTACAGAGGCCGTTAAACCATAAATTGATATATCCAAAATTTTCAAAAATGTTGATATACTTTTTAGTGGTATTCGAGCCGTTATATCAGTTTGTTTTCCAGATAAATGATGCTTAAACATTGCAAAATTTATACGTGTTTTAAAAGTGCACATATCCAAATAAGTTTTTCATTACAACAGTTCATCTTCAGCCAGTTTATGTGGGGCATTAAAGTCCCCCAGGCATGTCTTGGATAAATTTAGAATATATATGACAGAACTGTGAGAAGCCTTTATTCACCATAATACAAGGCTGTCTGCAAAAATAAAACTGCAAGATATAATCATAATGTGATGATAAAGCCAGAATCAGTGGTACATATGAATGTACAAGTGGGTTGTCAAGCAACAGCTGTAACCTTTAATATATAATTTGGTTTTCAGGTGAGTGAGATCATTTGTGGATTAACCAACATTTCAGCAAACATATTTGCCGGTTTCAAGGTAAATATGCACTGGGGTGAATTCTGGAAGCCTTATATAGGGCAGGCAATGAGCGGCAAGGTAGATTTAATGGTGTTTGTGGTGGAGTGGAAGAACGGGCCACTATCCAGTGAGATGAGCTGTTGCATTCGTTTGTTAGTTTAAACCCATGCTAATCGAGGAAAGGAAATGTTGGTATACTAAAAATGTACATGTTCAATAATATACCAAATTGGAGTATGTATGTGTTTACAAATTTTTATTATGGGTGTGGCTAATGGTACTGCCCGTATTCGTACATAAAACACCGACAACACAAATACGCAACAGTCATGATGCCGACAAGATCCAGGCCTAACATTAATACGTAATAGAAACCACCAGTTTACCGCAAATCTGTGCTAGTAATTTATGTTTTGTTCAGCAGTTGTACATACTGCTACAGTATGAGAATAACGAAGACCAAAATTTATTGTATTGGTAGTGGTAGGCCAAAATGAAGTAGTTGAGGTTTTTATTTGATTCTGCCATTTTCCTTCAATATTCATTTTGTTGGATGTCGGCATTCTTTCAGGTGAAATAAGTATTACAAATTGTTGCGGATGTGTAACAGATTCAGAAATTTAACACCGAGCGGCAAGCAGACAACAGTCGCCAAAGAGAGTGAATGAATACAGCTGTCGTACTGGTTATTACAGGTACCACTTAATATTTGATGTATTTCTTTCAGATGCAAGATCACTGAAAACATGGTCCGAATATAAATTACATTTTTGAATATTTTGTTTTAGTGCTAGAAATAGCTGTGTTGGTCAGTGGAGGACCTTCGATATGCAAATACGGTGGTTGGTTCGAGTAGCATGTGCTAGTTGTACTGTTTGTGAGGTTATGTTTAGTGTGTAATTTACTTCGTCGTGAATGATGCGTTAAATAGATAACTAATTATTACAGGTGAGATAATTTTTTGTATATAAATGTCGACTAATTATAACAGGTAACCGTCTATGTTGGATAGGTTATACATTCTTTTGTGTATGGGTTGAAACCTTAAAATGAAACCCCATGTCAGGGAGCTTAGGTCAGAAGAGTTATGTTAGGGTTAGCAATTAACTGATGCTGTGGATCTATGCGACTATCAGTTTTTCAAGAACTCTGAAAAACTAGTGGCTTAGCTATTCAAGAAATTTCACGCTTAAAATGGAACCCGTAGGTTGTCAATTATGGGCTAAGTTGTAACGCCATTTGGATGTATATGTGGGTACCCATTTCACCCCAGAACGCGGATGCAGCATGTTCTTTCTAAACGTTGGTACCCACCTACAATTCCGCATGATCCTATAGGTTGGATGTTGAGTAGAGGCTAGCAAACCTCACTGTAATAAAACTAGCACTTTGAAAAGTGTTACACAGGGACTTGGACAGTTTCTTTGGAATGATGTAAGCAACAGAAAATGGACATATGATTTGAAATTTCAGAATTTCACATAACATTATCACTGTAATTGATAACAAAATATTTTGCCTTTTCTGAATATTTCAGTGCGTTTGCCATGTTCAATTTCAGTTTAGAAATATTTTAGTGGTGATGGAAATAAAGTAATTGGTTTCTAGAAATAACATATTCAGTTGACACTAGATGGCTTTCATTTGGGTCTGTGCTCACTGTGTAGTGTACCATACTACACAGTGCTAATATGAGAACCTTGGATCCTAATTAGCACCAATTCCTGCATCACTGTCACCAAGAAAACTGCTTCATAAAGTATTTGTCTGCCTGATAAGTTTATCAGTTTCTGGTAATAATTATTCTACCAAACCTTGGGCAAAAAAGTTGTGTAAGACATATCTACATTATGGAAGCTGATATTTGTAAGTGATACGAACAGTACCAGAGTAAATACAGTAGCTTGTCTTTGTATTATATATTTGCTGTTTTAATGTGTTGATGTAGGTGAGATATGGCTGCCCAAGTCATTGGATTTGGTGACGTGAATGAGACAGAAAATGAAATGCATGTTAAAAAGAAGAAAATTGCAGGTGTGAAAAAATGTGGTGGATTTCAGGGAATGGGCCTGAGTTTCCCTGTATTAAAAGGAATTCAGAAGAGAGGGTATAAATTACCAACCCCTATCCAACGAAAGGTAAAACGTATTACTTCTTACCCTTACAGGTGTTTTTGTTTTGTAGTTGTGCTTATGTACTGTGAATCTAAGTATAAATATAATATGAAATTAATCAAAAACTTCAATGTAAGGCCTGTTGTAATTATGATTGGGCAATTCAGAAGACCAAAGTTGCATCCTCAAGTTTAAATTGGTCTCATAGCTTCATAGATACCAGGAAAGAGATAATTTTGTGTTCTGCCTTTTAGGTTGTCAGTTATTCTCATACATCTATTTTGTTTTAACTTTTATTCATATTATAATTACCTTGTTAAGGCCTCAAGGTAACAGCCTGGACAACCTAAAATGTGTTTGCAGATAAATTTATACTATTTTAATTAAGAATTCCTTTATTGTGACACAGTTAATATGAACTTCTTAAATTTTTGGCTTGCAGAGTGGTAAGAAATTTGGCCACCTCTGCTTTGTCTTGCTTTAGAAGCAGACTATAGGTTTCCGTAGAAGAAACCTGTTCAGTTACACGTTTGTAATATTAATTTTTATTTACATTTTTCATTGATTTTCCTTTTCAATTTTTTAGACCATTCCCTTAGTTCTCGAAAATCGTGATGTTGTGGCCATGGCAAGAACTGGCAGTGGTAAAACTGCTTGTTTTCTAATCCCACTCTTTGAAAAACTCAAGACCAGAGTAGCAAAGAGCGGTGCAAGAGCCTTGATTCTGTCTCCAACCAGAGAGTTAGCTGTACAGGTAGGTGATTTCAATATAAATTTAATTAACTGCAAAGTATCTGGCTTCCAGATGAAGTGAGTCATTTCAATATTTTGTGTTTCATTTAGCATTTTTCATATTTTCGCTTCCTGCAATTTTGTTAGGTTATGAGAGAAATGGAATAATTGTGAAGCTGATGATGTAAATTGTACATTTTAATAGTTTTTATTGTCAGTATGAATAGAATAGAATGTATTTACATACCCATATCCTTCATAGGCGTAAGCCAAGGATGTAGAACATATCATAGTACAAATACAATATTTGTTTCTAATGCAAATATAAATTACAAAGTTGTGATAGTAATTTGCAGTCAACTACGGTATTGCAGCAAAAATAATTATATAATAAAGCATACCCACAATTGCTTACATTTATTTATAAAAGTTAAGAATTTTTGGTTGGGATAAATTCTGTTTTGGAGTAGGAGTGTGACAAAATGTATTCTTTTAGTGTTGGCTTAATCTTGTGTATATTTGATTCAGACTTTTGATAGTGGGAAGTAGATTATTGAATAGCTGAATTATTTACACACATATATATTTATTTACAGAGTTTACTTCTTGGCACATGAAGGTTATGTCTACATTGTGGATATCGGAGAAGTTCCGTAAAGCCACCTTTACTACTTTACAGAATTTAATCAAGATAAATCTATTTTGTCAGAATTGTTTAGTTTTCTGCAATAAATAATTTTTGAAGATGATGTCATATTTTCAGGACTTTACATTTAGTGGCACTGGGGTAGATCCTACCTCACAAATTTGTGTATTTGCCAAATTGTTCTTACCAATTATAGGAAATTTAAAAAGTATGAGGTTGGAATGGCCACTAATGGCATAATGTTTGTACCTAATTTTGTTAAAATCGGTAATTTGGTTTAAAAGTTACACCATCATGAGAAACATCAGACTCCCTAATTTTCCTGGACTTTCCTACAGTACATACATATTGTTTCCAAATACTTATAAGGTATCTGTAAATATGCAGTTTATTACTGAAATATGTTTTTCTATTATCATTTCATATGAACATTGTTCTCTCGTAGACATTGAAGTTCATCAAAGAACTGGGACGATTCACAGGTCTTCATGCAACTATTGTGTTAGGTGGAGACTCGATGGACAATCAATTTAGCGCCATTCATGGAAATCCCGATATAATTGTAGCAACGCCTGGTCGATTTATGCACATCTGTGTGGAGATGGAGCTGAAGTTGCACACTGTGGAATATGTTGTGTTTGATGAAGCAGACCGGTATGATAATCATTATTGAAAATATTAACAATAAATTACTTTGGCAAAGAATTTGGATTGAGCCTGTTTTGGCAATTAACAGCTTCTAGATCAACGTTTATTTTTAATTTCTTAACACTGCAACATCCTACAAAAACATTGAAGAGAATTGAAATATCTTCGTCATGTGGTGTGAAGCGTTGTATCTCACTGTAATGGAATAACAGACCGATTAAGGATATTTGATGTAAAATTACTTGGGGGGAAATATTTGAACCTCTGATGAAGATGATTACATAATAATGGAGATTCACAGGTGTGCTCTCTAAACCTGATATTATTAGGGTGAGATGAGCGAAACATGTAGTATGCAGAGCGAGGTAAGAAATTATCAGAAGCTTTGGTAAATGATTTACTTGAGTATTTATGAAAGCGAGGTTCGAGGTTTGCATTGTGGTGAAGATGGTGGCGTCCCTCTTCTGGGTCATGATGCTGTGTGGACGCATAGGTAGATACCAGTGTTTCGGAGAAACATACTGTCTCCATCTTCAGCCCTGAAGGTGGAGACATTGAAATTATCCAAATACAAGTCCAGATGGTGTCACAACCCACAAGAGCAACATCATTATTTATGAAAGTGGTCCACCATGGAGAATATTACTGTCTGCTTGAAAATATGAAATGTTTTCTCAAAAAGAAATTGGACAGATGGATTGTAGGCTGGAGAAACATGTTTTAAACTTAGAGATCTAACTTTCTTGTGATTATGAAAAGCGACACAGTGGTTAGTAATTTATGATTTATTCTTGGGTATGAATCAGGGAACAAGATGTATGTAGGTATACAGGATACTGATTTAAAAATTCAGGAGAAGTAAATGAATTTCTAGAAGAAAAAATAAAAGCAAATGAAATCTTATTAATAGACCAAAAGCTGATTACAGTATTAACACATTGAATCTAATTTGTCTTCCTGGGTTCCAATTCCGAGGCTTATTTTTATTAGGCTTTTTTAGCATCGTGGTTTATTCCGACGGGCGAGGAGCTGGCCCACCGTGTCAACCACAAACCTGGAGGACCAGGTGATTTTTCCTCAGGGTGTTCTTCCCCTAGCCTTTGAAGAACCAACTTCTATCACTACAAGGCAGCAGTGTCTGGTTTTGGTCTGCCCCGGGTATTTTATTTCCCCGGTACCCTCCATTTCTGGTGAGCATTCCCCTATCCGCCACCTGGGGAGGCGCCCGATTGAAGACCAGTAACTCCTCACGAAGTAACGGTCAAGAAACGGAAGAAGAAGAATCTAATTCATAATTTCACTTGAATTATTTTCAGTGATATTCGTGTTATTTGAATTGTCTTCCTTTCAGATTAGTTTGGAAGGTTTATATTTCACAGAATGTAATAGCACATTTGTACATACTACAGGTTGTTTGAAATGGGTTTTGGCGAGCAGTTGCACGATATTGTGAAGAGATTGCCGGAGAGTCGGCAGACACTCCTGTTTTCAGCTACATTGCCAAAAGTACTAGTTGAGTTTGCAAAAGCCGGGCTAAATGATCCTGTGTTGTTAAGGTAGGAAAAACTTGTTACGTTTATGCGCAGAGAATAAAGCATTTCTTTCAGTTACATGTGTTTCTCGCTGTGCTGTGACTGTCCAGGCCAAGGCATTCAACTGTGATTGTATTTATGTCACTGATTGTTTCTGTAGCACATTTTGTAAGTTTATCTTCTGTGTACCTTCAAATAATGGTTGAACAGCCTTCATTATTCAGTATAACCTCTTTCCGTAACAACGCGGGCACCCAAAAAAAGCCTTGGCGGGCGCCTGCGGGCACCGCGTTGGGGACCACTGCTCTGCATTGTTATTTATTTGACATATGAGATGTCTTGATGTTTTTTATCATGGAATTTTAATGCTATCTTCTTATTTAAAAATAAGACATTTTTTCATTTGGTAGCAAACCTTCCCCGAACTGTTCTGCGTTAAGCACTAGTAAGAGAAATTGTGTGGATAATGGCATTTGTTATGATTATTTTAGACTGGATGTGGAATCAAAGCTTCCAGAACAATTAAAGCTTGCATTTGTATGTGGTCGTTCAGAAGATAAATCTGCTGCTTTGTTATGTCTCTTGAGACATGTTATAAAACCTGGATCCATGACTGTGGTGTTTACTGCCACCAAACATCATGTGGAGTATTTGCATATGGTAAGAAGTAGCTTAGTGTTGTGTTGTAATTTATTATTATTTGACGACAGGTCAGGTCCATATGAACAGGATCCTTCTATCCTTTTCTCGGACTGGGACCTGTTCATATAAGTTCTTGGCAGATGATCGAGAAGTGGTTTGCCATTGCCTTCTTCTGTGTGTGAATGGAGTAATTGTTGGGATGCCACGGAGGAAAACTCCGTGTTGCCTAGACCACGGATAAATTCGGGCACCGCCGGGAATCGAACCCGAGACCCCAGGATTACAAGGCCAGCGTTCTAACCGCTAGACCACCGTGGCTCTTGTGTTGCAATACGCAAGTTAAACTCTTCAACCATCCAGTAACAGATTTTTTCTGGTTATATGGATTTGATTGCATTAAGGTGTCCCAAAATGATGTATACACAATATAATATGGATTATTAACCCTGTTATTGATCTCTTTGTGTTGTATTTGCGGATTACATTAATAGTGGTCATTTTGAACACCAACACTTACTCCGTGACACTACAGCCCATGCGGTGCCGTGGCCTCACTTATGATCTTTGCCGTAACTATCCTCTCTGTTGCTCTCATTCTCTGCCATTTCACTTTCATCAATCTAAGATCGTCTTCAACATCATTCAGCCATCACGTCAACCGAATGTGTGTATACGTCCTTTTGGGACATTCTGTATGTTTACTCTGTTATACCAAATCTTTTTAATTGCTAGTGACTCAGTATTTTTCAGTCTGTTTCTTCTAAAATGTTTGTACATTATTATGTGTTCTTCGCACAACAATTTTATGAAGAAACCGCTTTGAAAGCGGTTATTTTGAAAGGTGACATGGAGATAACAATTATACTAAAATGATTCTTCGAGAAATCAGTCATGATAATGTGAATCTGGTTTAGGGTAAGGTCCACTTTTAATAATGTTAAAGCTTCAAATCGCAGCGTAAATTCTTTCTTCCTCTTTTTCCTTCATTTCCAGTTTCTTTCATTGGCATTTTTACTTACAATTTAAAATGTGACTGTAATAAAAATTATTCAGAAAGTCCCTGGTTCAAATCTCGGCCTGGAGACTGGCTATCCTGACTGGGGTTTATCATGGTTTTCCTCTGTCCTTCCCTCGCAAATGCCAAGATAGTACCTTAAATTAGGCCACGACCTCTTCCTTACGCATCCTTTCCAATTCACTACCATCCTTCTCATTCGACACTATGTAGTCTAAGCTACTGAAAAAGCGTCATTAAATATAAATATACCATTTATTTCATAATAAAAATCCATTATTTGTGCAGGAGATTTAGCGTTACTACTAATAACGGTTTCTTTTTTTATTGAGTTTTTTTTATAATTTTTTGCTCCCTTTGTATTTTTAAATTCCAGATACTAGACAAAGCTGGCATCACTAACACATACATATATTCCAATCTGGACCCATCTGCTCGGAAGATCAACGCAGCCAAGTTTCAGACAGGCAAAGTTTCAGTTTTGCTTGTGACAGATGTGGCAGCACGAGGTATTGATATTCCTCAGCTGGACAACGTCATAAATTATAATTTCCCCGCTAAATCTAAGCTATTTGTACACAGAGTAGGTAAGTACGTACTCTAATTATTTTTTCCATACTAACAATAAGTTAAGATTTCGGGTTCTCACAGCGACAAGAATAAAGATGGCTAACTTCTGGAATGTTGCACTATGTAGTGTGGTAGATATTGACCACTCTTTTAAAGACACTTGCTACCTCCATCATCAGGGTGATGATCATCATGTCGTTGCTTATTAAGCATGATAATTAAAACTCAAAAAACTCTTCTTAAGTAAATCTACAAATATCGATCTTTAAACCACATAACGTAACTCAGAATACTATCTTCACTTTTTGCTTATTGGAACTAATGGAATAACCGCCATGGTGGTCTAGCGGTTAGAACGCTGGGCTTGTAATACTGGGGTCCTGGGTTTGATTCACTGCGGTGCTCAGATTTACAACTTGTGTTGGGTAAGGCCGTAGTCCAGGCATCACAGAGTTTTCCTCCGGGATTTCCCCGGTTTTTCTGTGGCATCCCAACAATTACTCCACTTTCATCATTTCGCAAAAAGGGGGTCACAGCAGGAGCGTTAAATGTCGCGGTCCCGGCCGAACCCATGTTCTGATGGGTCGTGAATCCTGCTAACCACCAATGCACACCATGCTGAATGGTGTGTACTGGATACGAAAAAAAAATTGTTATTTTCTGGGTAAGCCTGCAGATTATTACTTCGTTCAATAATAAACTTTGGACGTGGCTTGAGAAACATTGATGTGTGTAATCAATTAAAATGTTTAAGTTTATTGTATGTAGTATTGTAAGTTTTAGTTGGCGCCATGGTGTCTCAGCAAGTAAATTGACATGATACAAATAAGATATCAGAGCGATTGATGTGCAGGTCGGTGCGCACGTGCAGGCAGAAGTGGTGTAGCGTATTCACTGGTGGCACATGATGAATTAGCGTACCTGCTGGACTTACACTTGTTCTTGGGACGTCCATTTAATGCCTCGCAGACTCAGGCATCTAATCAGGATGATGACTTCCCAGACGGCATTATTGGACGAATTCCTGAAGTACTGCTGGATGAAGAACATAGTGAGCTGAGAGTTTGGCATGAGACGGAGAATGATCTGGTTAGTCGGCACGATCACTCTGTATTTTTCAGCCGTTTAAGTAGTTTGTTGTTAGAACAAAACCTTGCTGTCACTAAAGAAGCCTCATTGTGAATCAGTACAATGCATTATACATCCTTATAATCTTTTCCCAAAGATCTGTTTTAATAATATCCTTCCATCTCTGCCTTAATGTCAAAAGTGTACTCTTTCCATGAAACTTCTGTAAATTTTATATGGCAGTTATCTGTCATAAATAATGTAATATTACAAATCAAATGTTTGTCTTTCCCATTTTTTATCCTATTTTCCTCCAAATGATTCAAAATTTGCAGCAATTTTTTTCATCTCTTCCACTCTGCGCCTATTTAATTTTCCCGTAATATGAAAGAACTTTCTTTTCTTAAATTTTTAGACAAATATGAAAAAGGTGTGTGCTAACGCCTATAGACAGTACATCCGTTCCAGGCCTGGCGCTTCTGTCGAGAGCGTAAAGCGTGTCAAGGACATCAATTCTAACAGCTTCGCTGTTCACCCAGTGTTTCCAATGCGAGATGTCGTTCAGTCTAGTACTTCAGACATACTGGAAAAGATGAAGAACTACAGACCTAGTGGGGTAAGACTGAATGTTGTAATTTATTGTCTTAGTCATTGATTTACAGGAAATGTTCCCCCCCCCCTTTCATTTTCTCGTATCCAGTACACACCATTCAGCTTGTTAATTTTTGTACTTTTTTGTATATTGTAAAATAACAACATGGCAGTTGCACTGTTCATTCCAAAAATGTTTTTAGAATCATAAAAATTTTGTCGAGTTTTTAAACTAGACACGTTCGTGCTGTATAAATTGGCGCAAAGAGGGAATATCGTGCAAGAACCAGGACCGCATAAGTTCCAGTGGCAAGAAATCATTACATTGCGTCTCTAAGATTATGACTTTTACCTGATTTGTTTTCAGACTATATTTGAGATTGGTCAGTCTTCAAGGTCACGTGCATATACTGTTATGAAATCAACTCGAGCCAAACACCGCTGTTTAATAGAGAATTATAAGCAGAAAGTGGAAGATAAAGAGAAAGAAAATTTGAGTAAGTGTTAACAGTTGAAATAAAATGTCATACCCAGTGTTAACAGGAACTCCGAGTAAAGTCACAGATAAGAAGAAAACATTGAAAGATTTTAGGTATGCATAGCCATGAAAATTACAATTATGGGCTTCAGGGTGATGATGTTCAGTGCTGTCATTGTTTTGAAGGGGAAAAAAAGACTTATTGCTTTCATCTTCAGGGTAGAACTGAAAGTGAAGTTCAGAAGTTCCTCCAAAGCACTGATAGCCACGCACAGGACCGTGCTTTTTCATAACCCAGAAGATTGCACTCTACAAATGTTGAATTTTTCTAATCTTGTCCAACTATCAGATCTGCATCGCTGATAGATGTCCTTGCAGTTTTTCATTTGAACTGTTCGGTTACATTGCGTGCTGCATTTTTAAATCGGTGGTTTAAATCTTCTGCGTTTCATTTATAGTCAACAAGACGAGTGAGAGGAAATCATTAACTGCAAGTAATGAAAGTGACATTGATGACGCTTTCCACAGTGTTATTGGACCCAAGAAGCGTAAATGTGATTTTCAGACAATGCCAACAAAGAAGAGAAAAACAATGGTGGATGAGGTGCATTATATTCCATATACAGCCCCAGACCATCATACAGAACAGGGGTGAGTTTAGTTTATCAGAGTTTATGATACTTTTAACTGAGTTTGCCAAGTTTTGCCAGTGGGTCCAAGTACATTATTGTAATTGTAGTGTTTTCCTGTATGACAGGAACATGATTGTCACGCCTGGCGCTTCTGTCGAGAGCGTAAAGCGTGTCAAGGACATCAATTCTAACAGCTTCGCTGTTCACCCAGTGTTTCCAATGCGAGATGTCGTTCAGTCTAGTACTTCAGACATACTGGAAAAGATGAAGAACTACAGACCTAGTGGGGTAAGACTGAATGTTGTAATTTATTGTCTTAGTCATTGATTTACAGGAAATGTTCCCCCCCCCCTTTCATTTTCTCGTATCCAGTACACACCATTCAGCTTGTTAATTTTTGTACTTTTTTGTATATTGTAAAATAACAACATGGCAGTTGCACTGTTCATTCCAAAAATGTTTTTAGAATCATAAAAATTTTGTCGAGTTTTTAAACTAGACACGTTCGTGCTGTATAAATTGGCGCAAAGAGGGAATATCGTGCAAGAACCAGGACCGCATAAGTTCCAGTGGCAAGAAATCATTACATTGCGTCTCTAAGATTATGACTTTTACCTGATTTGTTTTCAGACTATATTTGAGATTGGTCAGTCTTCAAGGTCACGTGCATATACTGTTATGAAATCAACTCGAGCCAAACACCGCTGTTTAATAGAGAATTATAAGCAGAAAGTGGAAGATAAAGAGAAAGAAAATTTGAGTAAGTGTTAACAGTTGAAATAAAATGTCATACCCAGTGTTAACAGGAACTCCGAGTAAAGTCACAGATAAGAAGAAAACATTGAAAGATTTTAGGTATGCATAGCCATGAAAATTACAATTATGGGCTTCAGGGTGATGATGTTCAGTGCTGTCATTGTTTTGAAGGGGAAAAAAAGACTTATTGCTTTCATCTTCAGGGTAGAACTGAAAGTGAAGTTCAGAAGTTCCTCCAAAGCACTGATAGCCACGCACAGGACCGTGCTTTTTCATAACCCAGAAGATTGCACTCTACAAATGTTGAATTTTTCTAATCTTGTCCAACTATCAGATCTGCATCGCTGATAGATGTCCTTGCAGTTTTTCATTTGAACTGTTCGGTTACATTGCGTGCTGCATTTTTAAATCGGTGGTTTAAATCTTCTGCGTTTCATTTATAGTCAACAAGACGAGTGAGAGGAAATCATTAACTGCAAGTAATGAAAGTGACATTGATGACGCTTTCCACAGTGTTATTGGACCCAAGAAGCGTAAATGTGATTTTCAGACATTGCCAACAAAGAAGAGAAAAACAATGGTGGATGAGGTGCATTATATTCCATATACAGCCCCAGACCATCATACAGAACAGGGGTGAGTTTAGTTTATCAGAGTTTATGATACTTTTAACTGAGTTTGCCAAGTTTTGCCAGTGGGTCCAAGTACATTATTGTAATTGTAGTGTTTTCCTGTATGACAGGAACATGATTGTCACCTAAATCAGTGGTATACAACCTGGGGTACGCGAAGACATCTTAGGGGGTATGTGAAATTTAAAAAAATATATATATTTTATGATAAGCACTGAATAATGAGTAATGTAATTTATTTAATTTATTTTAGATGTATAACTTGAATTATACACCAACAACTTTGGGGGTACAAAGTTAAAGAGAAATTATATCTGGGGGTACGCGAAAACATCTTAGGGGGTACGTGAAATTTAAAAAATATATATTTTATGATAAACACTGAATAATCAGTAAAGTAATTTAATTTATTTTAGATGTAGATTATATACTATGTATAACTTGGAATTATACACCAACAATTTTGGGGGTACAAAGTTGAAGAGAAATTATATCTGGGGGTACGCGAACAAAAAAAAGTTGAATACCACTGACCTAAATCAGATATCGAATCCTAAGTTGAATACTTAATACAATAGAAAATCAACAAACTTGTTAAAAGAATTATGTGATACGTGAACACATTTGCTATACATTGTCGATAAATTGCTCTCATTCGTTATGTGATGCCCCTTGCGTAAATAAGAAATGCTGAATGTGGCCGTGGGTCTTCGAAGGTTGACAGCCCCTGCTATAAAACTTTGCGATATGGTAAAGAATGAACAATAATTTAATAAATAGGTACTGTTTTTTTTTACACTGTCGTATCAGGTACTAATAATTTAATCGATATTCCTAATAATTGAGAGAAGAGGTAAAGAGAAAAATAGAATCGCCTGCATTATTTGTGTAATTGATTTTTAGACTTTAACTAGATACATTTATAAAAACAGGAGAAGTGTTTTTGTGCACCCTTCCTTTCACAAACCTGCGAAATACAGCCTCCTTTTGCCTCATATTCCCGATAAAAAAGTTTTTATCTGCCATACTAAACATGAATGTGTTTGCTGTTTTACTTGATGATAGGATGCTACTGATTAATGAATTGAAAAGTATATGGAAGCAAAGATTTGTGACCTAAGAGGTAATGTTCTGGCATTTGCCTGGAGGGACAAAGTAAAACCACAAAAATCTCAGGATAGCCAACCTCCTGGTCAAGATTTGAGCTCGAGACCTAAAGACAAAGCACGACTTCTAATCACTTGACATTAATTGTCGGCCTTATAATTAGCATTCATCAACAATCACATATACTGGGAACGACCCGTTCTTCAAGTGCCTGAGCACTGCGGGTCCCAACTTTTCGTTGGCTCGATCTATAGACATTCGGTAGGACTCCTTGGACGAGGGATCGGCCCATCGCAAGGCCTCTACCTGTACACAGGACAACGCGGACAAACATCCATGGCTTGAGTGGGATTCAAACCCACGGTCCCAGCGACCAGGCAGCACAAGGCCCACGCCTCAGACCACGTGGCCGCTGCGGACCCTATCACATATACTTGCTTGTGAATTTATCTTGGCAAAATGACAACATTTTTAGAGTAGAAAGATATGAGTTGAAGATTACATGTTTAAATTAAAATAATTAAATTATTCATTGATGATAGTCATAATTGATGCATTCATAATCTGTTTTTAATTTTTATAATATTTGAGGTTTTTATGATGGTGAAAATCCGGATTGTAGTCCTGAAGGTGGTTACCAACATTTCAAGGAACATTTTGCCTCAGTGTACTCTGAAGATGGACATTACACATTCTTCTAAAATGATGGTAACCACACAAGATACAAAAAAGATTACACAATGTAGAAATCTATGATTTGCATGGCTTTAATTGTATTCTGATAGGTTTGCAGTAAACAACTTTTACCATGAAGCATCCAGAGCTAAACTAGATTTGACTGCTGACAGTGACGAAACATTAAGACGGCAAAGCAGATTAAAACGCTGGGATCATAAAAAGAAGAAAATGGTTTCTGTTAATCTGGTTAGTAATTGCACCATTCCTGTGTCTGTATCTCTTGTTATGCGACCATAACCGGTTTTTATGGTGCAAAAAGCAATATGTTCTCCACAGTTTTGTTGCTTCACATTCATCACTTGATTCTGCGTGATCTAATTGCCTACAGGGAAATTACTTTTCTGAATCTGGATTTAATGAGAATGTTGCAGAATGTTTTCCAAGTGTTTAATTTTGAGTCCAAACACTCGCAAAGCAATGTTAATGTTAACACAGTTTATTCGGAATGTGACATTTTTTCGATACTATGAATTTTTGTTCAGTAAGTGAAAATGCAAAAATTTAAACATATACAACTTGCTAGCAAGTCTGAAGCTTATTTTTTTTTAAATCTCATTTCTTCAGAGTTAGTAATTTATGAGCAATGACAAACTTCTGGTAAAAGAAAAATTTGGTGGCATAAAAATTGAAACTACTCTTTAAAAACATTGACAGTTTTCAGGCAATGGCATCATACTTTGTGCCCTTGGTATAGAGATCTGCAGGGTACATAATTGCATTGTATCATCATCTGCCTAAATGGTGAAAGTTACGCTTTGAAAGGCAAACATTTGTAGAATAAATTTCTCCTTTCAACATTTGTCAACTTTGCAACACTGTAACTGTCCTTGTTGATTTCATTGTCAACTTTGCAACACTGTAACTGTCGTTGATTTTGTGTGTTGGATGCGTGAAGCAATCTTATGTGGCACATGTCAGTGCATAATTAAACCCTAGTCTGTGGGAGAGTATGGAGCGGCAGAAAAAAAATAGTTTTTTGTGGATAAAATCGGTACTTTTACATTTACTTTAAGCCTTGTATGAGGATAGATCACTAATCAAATGATTAATAGAGACTGGCGCTTTCTTTCTTATCAAATACAGCATAAATTAATTTAGGTGAGCTGTAATGTTTGGATTCATTAGTAAAATTTGTTTACCAAACTGTAATTATGACCAAGTTACTGCCAAAATTCATTTTCACTGAGCAGATAAAAAATATGTCAGACAAATTTGCACTGAACATTCAGTGTAGAATTTCATAATGTTTTCTCAATATTATGACCATAGATACCGCGACATCCCATGATTTATAGATGTAATTTGTTCGATAATCTCTGTTTGTAAGCTGAAAATTGTTAATTGAAAATGAAATTACCATTGATTCAATGTAAAAATTCTGACTTGATTTAAATCATACAAAGTTTCTGCATGGCCTAATTAAGATACGCAACCTTTATCTGAAATATTTTTAATACGATGAATATCAAATGAAGTAATTTATGACTGTACAGTGATAATAACTTTGCAACAGAGATGGTAACTTAAAACCTGAACAGAATTATATCACTAATTTTATTCAGTCTCTCCAGGTTCTAAATTGTTATTTATTTCAGGATAAGAAAGTTAAGAAAATCCGCGATGAGTCTGGAGCTTGGGTCCCAGCCACCTACAAGAGTAAACGGTATGCTCAGTGGAAGGAAAGAACAAAAATAGAGGAGAACCTTGCAGCAGATGATGATGATGATGATGATAATAATGAAGATCAAAAGAGAGGCCAGCTTCGGGGTATGTTTCAAATGTGGTTCATATATTGTATATTAGACTTTTATTATGGAGAGTTCTGCGTTCTCTTATCCATGTAAAGCTTTCATTCTTGAAATCTGTGTATTGTAATAGGGCCATTCCTCTTTCAGTATAGCAGATAAAAATATTTGCTTCCATTCATCTGAAAAGACATTGCTGTTTGCATCTGATGGCAGCAGAATATTAAATTGCCTTTTGATCAAGATTTTCTTACAGTTATGGACAGACATTTGAATAATTGCACAAGAAATTGATGGCATGTATAATTAGATATACTGGCGTTGACTGTGATCTTCTGTGTTGTGATGTCATGTCGTCTTGTAGGTATTCTCCATGGTTGAAGAGTAACTTATTGCCTTCATCTTCCCTTCTTCCACTCCAGGGTTCATCCCTGAAGATGGAGGTGATATGTTCCTCCAAATTTATAATAATACAAGGTGCCTCAACCCAGAAGACCACAGTTGATATCTTCACTGCCAAAAGAATATATATTTGTGATTTTGGGGGGAGTCAAGAATGAAGATGGCTGTCTTCTGGGTTGTAACACTGTGGAGTCATATAGTTGCTGTCCCCATCATCAGGGCACTTATTGCCGTGATGATGGAGGAAGCAAGGACCTCTGAAACATTGGGAAATTTCTACCAAACTACATGGCGCTACAACTCACCGCTGTGAAAATCTCAAATCCTACTCAACATTAGTATGATAAAGTCATAAAATGGTAATGTCACCTACGCAGTCTAGTTTATTTTTCTTCTCTGTAGGTTTGAAGACTTACCCCAATACTCACTGGGGTCGGCACAATAAAAAAGTCGAAAACAAAGTTAAGTTTGGACTGAAGCGTCCTGATGAAATCCTGAAGGCCAGAATTGAAGAAGAAAGGAAGAAAAGAAATCATCGCAGAAGATCTAAGCGACCAAAGCGGAAGACATAGGTATTTTGCACCTTTGAATGTTAATTGGGCACTGTTCTTGCAAGTAAGTCAATAAAAAGCAAAATATGTTGTGCTTCCCTCTTTCTGGAGTTGACTTCTAATTCCATTATATGGTGTCCTTGGAGAGTTGATGGTTCCATGTCAGGTACAATTTCAGTATAACTTGAGAACTGTTCACGACTGTAATCTTGAGACTTGCGGGGTGAAGGAGGAAAGATAGTGTCTGCCTTTAACGCTACAGACTTCCTGCATTCCTTGCAAGTCTCAAGATTACAGTCGTGGACTTTACCTACAACATTTGTTCATTACTGGTGAATAAATAGTAGTTTTTCTTTTGAAAGTCCAAGGTGTCTAGTGAGAAAATAGCCCTCTGTTCACTCGGCCTAGCACTAAACACGAGCCTTAACAGATGACAGATCCGTAATAATTCAAATAAGGAGTAATGAAGTATTAAATTTGTCATGGATTCTAGAATTTTTAAGTCTGTTTCACATAATATGCTGATGAATCTTATTTATATTCATGCGATTTACTGAATATTCAAGACGTTCTTATATTACTGTGCATATACATATGCATTTTGTGTATTAAGTACATGTACGTGTTTTTTGAAGTCTGCAATCTCAGGCAGGATCTATCGGAGATAGGAGTAGAAGGAGACTGGAAATGTGTTGGCCCAGGACAGGGTCCGGTGGAAGGCTTTGGTTAATTCGGTGATGAACCTTCGAGTTCCATAAGCCATCTAGTCAGTTGGTTAGTTATGTTCATTGCCAGTCTTCACAAAATTGTCTTCAGTTGATTGATGATAGTGAAACTGTTCTGTTATATTATAATCCATATTTCCAGTAACTTGTGAATTGAATCATACATAGGCAAGCAATGCAGAGTCCTTTTACATCAGCTCCACATCTGACAAATCTATCACAGTTGACGAAGACTGATATACATTGTGCAGACTTTCCCCAATAATCCCACACTCCGATGGTTTCTGACGAAACTGAGTGCGATAATGTGCATAGAGAGGTCCCTTCCATGGAAATGCTTTCCCACATACAAATGGTTTTTCACCAGTGTGTGTGCATCTATGTGTTACAAGATGTCCACGTGCATAAAATGCTTTCCCACAAACCTCACACTTGAAAGGTTTTTCACCAGTATGAGTCCTTTGATGAGTAACAACATGTTATTTTTGTGTATATTCTTTTCCACATATGTCACATTTGAAAGGTTTTTCACCAGTATGTATACGTCGATGATTAATTAGGCTAGCCCTATGAGATAACAGTTTCCCACAAACTTCACATTTAAGACGTTCCTCGGAATGGTCTGCAGTCACACTTTGAATGGGAGAATCTTTGACTCTGTAAAATATTAATTTCATATACCTAATTAGATGCAACATTGTTAAATAAAACATTAGTTAAAGTTGAAACTCATGAAAGCACCAGTAACTGGCACAAAATTTCCTGTTAATCCTAGTAATTAACGCTTCGTAACATTCTGTGTTTTGTAGGGGTGATAATGTAAGTCAGAATACATTATCTGTCGGAGATATGCGCAACAGAATGTTTTGGGCTGTGACCAATGACGGCTCATACCCTTTCGTTGTTTCTCGGTGTCCATGCAGTTCTGACACTGCCTCTAGGTTCTTTGTTTGTTGCCGAAGTTGTGCGAAACTTCTCTACCCAGTTCTTGATCCAATCCAGAACCTTTCCATGTCTTCCAATGTTAAAATGCTCTGAATATTCATTGTGTTGCTATCACAGTCATTATTTCTGAAAAAAAAACATCTCTATGGTAAGCGCAAATCAATTTAATACCTAGAATGATCACCTAAAGAAACTGTTATATTTAAAAAATGCATCGGAATAATTTTAGCTTGTTATTGTTTTTATGCATTTTGGTTAAATCCTTAACCTAATTTTACCCCACCTTCCCACAAATAAGTTACCTCAATCTTTTCAGAATATACTTAAGTCCATTCTTCATATACTGAGAAGACAAAGGCAAGGAAAGAAGTAATGCAACAGAAAGAAAGAAAGAAAGATGGAAGAAAAACTTACTCACTTTTATTTCAGTCTTCACGTTGACAGACTGAAGAGGATACATATTATATTTATCATCATCCACCTCATCTTCAGGAACTCCTCCAATCAGTGAGTTCAAACTCTTTTTAACATCAACTCTTATCTTTTGTAAATCCATGCTGTGCTGGGAACATTACCGTTCTATTAACCTCTCCTCCATTGCCTCATAATATGACCAAACGCTATGGTTCAGTGGTTACCACTCCTCCATATTAATAATTTCCCTTGTTTCCTTCATCCCTTCCAGGCAAATTTATCAATATAGTACCTTAGAATAGGCCGCAAGTATTTCCTTTTATATCCTTTCCAATTGACTATTCACAAATTATATTACTATATGATATTACACATCCAAGGAAACTGGAAAAAAATATAAAATAAAGCAACACTCAAATAGTCTCACAACATAATTCAGACTATGTTATGATACGTCACTGCAATTACTCTAATGTTAAAAAAAATGCTCTTACAGAAGAGAATATCTGAGGTCAATACCATATCTTAAAACCTTGCATACCGTGCAGTGTACTGATATATAAAAATCATGCATACAAACAAAACTGTTTACGCATTAAATAACACCTTGTGCCAAACGCATTTCGACCTCTATAGGTCATCATCAGTGGCATAAACATTAGTTCATTAGTCTATCTATTAAAATCATACAATTCATGAAGCAATTGTTTTTTATAAAGTACTGTAAAAGGTCACACTTTATAAAACTATACTTCATGTAAACACCACATTACATAAAGTATAATTTTGTTTGAATGCATGATTTTATATAGCAATGTCATATGCTAAAAACAGTGCTATGACTAAACTGTCAGTGGGAATTAGACAATAAACTTAAAATTAAAATTCTGATAATTTCACTAGATTTTCTGTACAAAGACTAGTTGGCAACCATTTTACCCAAAATTCCGGTTAAATTGCTGTGTCTTGTTCTTTGAGACCATTACGATTTTATTATCGTGTATTTATCGGTGCTTTAAAAACATATTCTTTTATCGTATGTGTTACTTAAAAATTTGAGCTACTCATGTGAATGATATCTCCCTGTTGAACCAAACATTTTATATCAGGAGAAGGGGTAAAGCAAATTTGAAATGTATGATGATGATAGTCTGCAATGTACCCTTACTGTATATTATGTTTTATTTAAAGTGTTTCCTTTAACTTTTCCAGAATGATTTAAATATTCAATATATAAATGCATAAGAAAGGTTGAAAAATGGTGTACATCTAACTACTAACAGCTTTCTCTAAAATAATTGAGAAAGTCATGCATAAGAGAGTATGTGACTCTTGAACTCAAGTGAACAATTTGGATTTAGGAAATATCACTGAACTGATAAAGGCATTTTCAATTTTACAGATGAAATCTTAATTGCTCCTAAAAATATAATGCATGTTAGTAGAATATACTATGCTGGAATTATGCTATTCAATAATCTCCCCCCTCCCCCCACTATAAAAAGTATGAATCATATAAAGTTAAGCTGACACTAAAAGAGTATCTCCTGTCTCACTGTGACCAATCAATAGAATAGTTGCCTCCGCCAAAGTTCTCAACTATTATAAATACTTATAAGCAACGGTGGGTATGCTTTCGTGTGTAATTATTTTCGTCATAATACTGTAGTTGACTGTAAATTACTGTCTGTATGGTATATATAACTAGTACATAACCTCACTTTCTAACATCTTAATAACGCAAATAAAAATCCATTGGCAACCGGCTTTGAATATTGTTCCATCGCCTTGTGTAATTCCAGTATTCCTAGAAATAATACAGAAAATATTAATATAAAGTAAATAGTTTTCTGTTACGTACATAATGTTGGTATTATCTGTGCCTTTTTTTAACGTACATAATGTTGGTATTATCTGTGCATATTTCTGTACCTTAAGTTGGCAACGTGATCGCCATTAATAGGAGGTTATAGCAAGGGTGATCACAAATAGGCGGTGAGTACGAAGATGACTGTCGTGTTGTCAGCAGCTTATTGCAGTGAGGTTGAAGTTTACGAACGTTTCAGGGGTGTTTGCTGCAACTATCATCAGGGCGGTGAGTAACATCAGCATAGATTATTACCAAATTTTACAGTCTTCGCATTTTATTAATGTGTGGTTTCATAGTTTTGTTTTATTTTCTGTGTAATGAACATCTCCAAAAATGGATGAAAGAAAAGACGGGAATATTAAAATCTGCAATGAAAGATGAGTAAAAATATGCTTAACTATTTACCGCCCTCTAATACATCATAATATATTAAATACTGGCATTGGTCATTTTATTGAAGTGTTTGTGATGTACATAATAATAGTGCACCATAAAAAGTAAATGATATCACATCAGAATCTATACTGACAATCCCCAGTATTACCTCTACATGATGGAATTAATCCTGAGAAAATGTTTGATGTACTTGATCATGCAGAGAAATATTCAATTATCCAAACTTCTCTGCTAAGTATGTGATTTGATTCAGCTTCTCATCTAGGCTAAACAGATCCTCTAACTTCCATTTTCACATTTTGGCAGAAAATTCTTTTGGTTCATGTGACTCTCACACCTATTTTAAAATTTTGCCCTTGGACAACCATCTGACCTCTGCATGAAATAGCAGTTCTGTTGATGCAGTATCTATTTTAGAACATACTATGTTGAAAACTGATGGATTACACAGTGTGTGCCAACTGCATCTGAAGCTACAGCTTTTAACAAAACTTTAAACCCAGATATATATTTTAACATAGTAGGTGTCCATGTCCAAATTCCACACAAGCTTTTCTGTTCAATTCTCTGTTCTTCAAAAACGTTTCACATATTTTTTAAAAATATATCTGCAGCCATAGTAGTTTCAAGGTGTTTCAGGGAGGATTGTAGAGGTCTAGTAATAGTTAACCTTATATGAAATTTAAGTTCTCATGAATGTGAAGACCACCTTGACAAGTAACTTTTCTGACTGAGTTACTCTATACAATGGCAATTATAAAGTACTATCAATGCTGCCATTGTTATAGGCCAGTGAGAATGCTGCTATGTTACCTGATGATAGTGCCATCTGTAATCTTTGTTGGCAATCTGTGAGTGAGATTGTTTGCATGCATCATAGAATAGAATAGAATTTATTTGCATTCCATAGATCCTTCGTAAATTTGAGGTTTTCATGGTGGTAGGTGGATGTCTTCTGTGTTGTTGTGCCGTGTAGTTCAGTAAAAGTTTTCCAGATGTTTCCGAGGTGCTTGTTGCCTCTGGTGTAGGCAGTAATCACCTCTGAAGCATCTGTAAAACTTCTAATGAACTACACAGTGCACCAACCCAGAAGTCAGCCATCTTTATTTTTTTTAACTTTGATCCTTTCTAACAAAAATACACACACCTAGTTACACAGCTGAATACAGGTGAGTGCCTGTTGTCAAAACATATTTTTCATTGACACTTTCAAAACCTTTGTTGTCCTCAGTCCTTTAAAATATTATCCTGTTTTTATGTTAAGGGGTTTGTTGTTTGATATGGATGACACTTTTGTAGTTTAAAGAAACTCATGTTACTGTGAAATATTCATCTGTTGGATAAAAGCGAAGTGAGAATTATTGCATACAAATTCACTTTTGCTCTGAAGATGGAGCAAGTTCCTCTCTGAAAAAGGGTTTCAAAATAGTTCATTGGAAAAATTAGTAGTCTTTCAGGGGAATGGAAGAAGTGTGAAGAGGAATTTTGGAGGTTGAAGAGTAATTAACTTTCTTACCGACTGGAATATTCTGAAATGCAACAGAAGTAGTGGAATAATAAAAAAACAGTTTGAGAAAATAACTACAGGGATGGCATAGTGTTGCCAAACCAGCTCTGATGTATTGGAGTGAAACATGGGTTTTAAGGAGAGAGGACAGAAGATTGGAAACATCACTTGTGAGATTTGCTGGACATCTCGTAGGAGTGACCCTGAGAGATAGAATGTAGCACGACGACATAACCGTTGAAAATTAGAAGGATAGATTAAGAAATTATGAGACTTGAATGAAGTGGTAGCAACATGTGGAGAGGATGGACAGCAACAGAGTACCCAGAATTATAATCAATTATAAACTCTTTGGCCTAAGGGATTTAGGACGAACAAGAAGCCGATGGCATGATCAGTTCTGAATTTCGGAACTGGCAATTAGATGCCGAACCTTGAAGAGGAATAAGAATACCCGACTGGTTCATTGCTTTGGTCACACTGTTCTCCATTGTTTACTTGTATAGGTGGCAGCACAATACACATCAATATTACGTTGGCTGCCACTGTTAATCTGTGAGCGACCACTTTCAGAAATCTTCTTCAGTGTCGGAGGTGTTCACTGTATGTGTTATGCGAGGATGCATTGGGTGTTTTGAGTATGTGGAGGACATTGTATCAGTTATTGTATGTAATTTATGTTCATTTTATGTGCTTATTATTCGGAGTCATCATAGTTCGTCTGGTTGAATATATTGTGTCTGAAATTCCTACTATTTCTTCTAAAGTAAGTGAAGATCATAACTTTTAGTTTGCTACTAAGCACTGAATGATACATTTTAACTTGCACATCGTCTGGTTGAATATATTGTGTCTGAAATTCCTACAATTTCTTCTAAAGTAAGTGAAGAACATAACTTTTAGTTTGCTACACACTGAATGATACATTAAAGTCTTTCGTGGACAGGAAAGATTTGATTTGCCATTTGAATATGTTACGGATATTGGAAGGGAACCACGGACACTGCCACTAGTAACTTTGAGGTTATATTTCCATTTTGGTTGCAACAGATATGTCTGGTACCAACCTCACACCAAAAATTTTAAGTTTCGTCATTAAAAGTTGCCAAAGAACATTTGTGCATGATGAATGTTTTAAATAAAATTAAATCTTTTAATACTGTAATTCACATTGTGCATTCATCTGTAAGTATTACCTTTCTAAAAAGTTCGTAGAGCAATAATACTCGAGAGTTTTTAAGTCAAATTGGGCACAGAAATGTTGAGAAATAATGCTGATAAAACCTATAGGGCTATAATCACAGACCTTGGGCCCCCACGTGGTATCTATAATGCATAAGCAAGTCATGAGTCTGAGAAAGAGGAATCTTATGATTTTGTTTTCTATTGAAATCCCTTTTCCTGGAAACATTTTATATTTTCACTTACTGCACAGACAGGTTATACAGTAAAACATTTTAAGTCACCCTGATGATGGAGGCAGCAAGGACCTCTGAAACGTCAGTAAACGTCTACCAGACTATATGTCACAACAACCCAGAAGACAGCCATCTTCAAAATTTTGTCTGCCCTTGTAAATGCAATTAGGATTTTTCTTTCTACATCCCAAACATTTTGAATAGGGGAAAACAATTGAGGACTCTCCATTTACTGAAAGTATGTTGTGGAGTCTCGTTAACAGGAATGTGTTTTGTTTGTAGGTGCAAAGAAAAGGAATAAGAATAGAAAATAGTTTCCAGTCATGTCCTCTTGGAAGAAAGTTTCAAAAACAAACCAGCACGTTCATCGTGAAAGACATCAGCCAGAGAGCCGGGTACACCTGGGACTTCTTGAAAAAAAGAAAGATTACCGCCAAAGAGCAATAGACTATCATGAAAAGCAAAGAACACTGAAACTTTTAAAGAGACGTGCTTTAGATCGTAACCCTGATGAATTCTACTTTCATATGATTAACTCTCACGTAGAAGATGGTGAACATAAAGAGTTAGAAAAAGATGATGAACATACTCCTGATCAGATACGTCTCATGCAGAGTCAGGATATACGATATGTAACAACAAAACGCACAATAGAAGCAAGAAAGATTAATCGCCTTCAGTCGCAATTACACTTGCTAGAAGCAGCTAACCAATCCAAGAACACGCATGTATTTTTTGTGGACACTAAAAAGGAAGCAAAACAATTTGATGTAGCCAAACAACTTGATACCCATCCCGCAATGCTGAAACGACGTATCAATCGACTGCGAACGGCTACCCTCAAGAACATGTCACTTCCTGAGATGGATGAAGCAGCTTTAGAAAAATTGACAGCAGAAAGGGACAAGGCATACATAGAATTGGAGAAGAGAATTGATCGGGAAAAGGAGTTGAGAGTCATTCAACAAAAACTAGAGATAAAAAGACATCTTCTGAATAAAAAAGAAAGTAAGCCAGAAAGAATAAAGCCAAGCACCAAGAACACTCCACCAATTTATAGGTGGAAATATGAAAGAAAACGATGAGTTCATTAAATTTATTTAATTACAGTGAATATTCTTAATTTTTACAAAGTTGTTCTGCAAGTAATCTGTTATAATATAAAGTAATTGTGGAAAACTGCCTTAGAATTTCCACCACTCAACCACAGTGTTGCAACTTTGCCTTACAGCCAAAAGTTGTCAGTATTGAACCCTGGCATTTTTTACATTTTCCATGTTATAAGTTTAATTTGATAGTACCAAGGTTGACTGAAAAAATAGTTACTGTTTTCTTCATGAATTTTATTTTATTATTATTCAAATTGGTATACAGCATTGTAAGAACATTCGGTGATGTATTCTAGGACAATGTAGCAGGTTTTCCTTTTTTTTTTTTGGGGGGGGGGGGGTGCATGGCATGTGGAGAACTCTAAGACCATGACCTACATTAAATCTACAATGAAATGTAAGATAATTACATTCCACAATTTTTATAATAACCAACATTTCCAGTAATTTTTCCTAGTATGTGGAGTTTCCTTCAAAACAGGTCATGTTCACTGCTACTCAAATTTGCGTACTGTATATGATATAGAACAAAATTAACGTAACCAAAATAGTATATAATACATTAAAACTTCGAAGTATGCAGAATTATCAGAGATTACCGTACTATGAACATATACATTTTTATTGCTCTTTCTCATCAAATTTTTTTACCTAAACTTAATTAGTGATCTGACATTAGACACTCCTGATTTCTCTTCATCGCTAAACCAGAACTATTTGACACCAGAGTGGCGGATACCTGGTAATGGTACATTGTAATACGTATAACAAACACGTGACCTTTTAAGGACCTCATTCTATTCCAGTTTGCAAAAATTTCCTTTTGCTAAATGTCGGATTATGTATGATAATCCCCCGTTGAATGCCATTTCTGTTTTGATCTCGTTTGTCCATTCGTGAGAACAAGATGGGTTTATAGGCTTTTGTGCACAGATATAGACAACCAGAGAAGGGAATTTCTGTGGCCATATATGAACATGCGGTTATGTTCGTTGTCCTCAAATAATTAAGATATTGGTACTGGTTTCTGTCTTACGAACAGATTGATGTTTGAAAATTGCTGTATAAATGTTGTACTTTGGTTCATGTTTCATGTGGTAAAATGTCAATGACAGGTTGTGGGACTAAGTAACTCAATCTGCAATACGAATTGCCAGAGATGAATGGTTTCTGGTGATAAGAAACTGTAGAGCGTATTGGTACTATTAAAGGAATGCTAAGATAAAAAAAGTGATACTTTAACTTAACTGATTGTGGACTCTCATCTGTCTCGCATTTAAGTATTAGCTTTAAGTGTTAGTACTTTTGTTTCCAAAAAAGGTGCCGAATGTATGCAACATGGACTTTTATGGGCATCAAATTAATTGACGTCCAACTGAGTCGAATGGTTGCAGGCAAATATCATCACTCTAAAACATGACTGCTGGGAGTTTACATATAACTTATTATTCCTTGTTTCTGAAAACCACCTTTCTCTTAATTATCTAGTTCCAAAACTCTGTCTCTTCTTACAGAATATGTTGCATATAATGGTGTGAACGTTATCTGAACTCCATCTTGGCCGTATACATCTGTAATACTGTATGGTCCAAATACACAGGGCTCAGAGATTGGGGCAGCTGTAACAAGATGAAATTACAATATATTTAAAATAGTTGTATGTCTTGTTGTTCTATATACAGTAAAACCTCTCTAACTTGGACACTTGCGGTTCCACGAAATTTGTCCAAGTTTTTTAAAAGTCAGATTGTGGTCTAATCAAAATATAATCCAATGTGGGCAGCGCAGTGGAAGGACATTCATTTACCTTGTAGGCCAAACACTGGAATGCATTAGCGCAGTCAACATTGCTTACTTGGAGTAGCACTGGATGACAACTAGATGAGTTTTCCTATGTAGTTTTCATCTCGTGCAATATTGCGTTACTACACTAAAATATTTGCAGCCGAAAGCCGAATGTTATTTCTCAGACATTCTTTATCTAAACTTTATAAGAGAATAAGTAATATCAGAGTAACCCAGCTTGCAAAGTCATTAATATTTTTAAAAGGAATTCTACGATTTCTGCTTCATACTTAGCGTGTATTTTTTCCATACCTCATTGACAAACAATTTATTTATTTATTCTTATTAAATTTGTAATGCCACTGATTTAAATCTTGTGTATCATCTCTCTGAAACATGTTAGCTCCTTACATTTCTATAAGGGTCATCCAGAAATGATTGGGACTTCCAAAACGTGTTCTTCTGAATACCAGTCGATAGACAAAGTCCAAGAATTTAGTAAAAGTAAAGTAAAGTTTGTACCACTATACGCCATGTAGGCGTTTGGGGTGAGTGGAGGTATAGCTCCTCTCTTCCTTGACCTCAGCACTAGATGGGACTGGCTTTACCCCCGGGAGAGGACCCCGGTACCCATTGTAGAGGAGGCTGGGTGGGCCCCAGAGCCGGTCTGGACGCAGAGGCTAGAGGAAAAATCCTCTGCCCCCGTCGGGGATCGAACCCCGGTCGTCCAGCCCGTAGCTAGTCACTGTACCGACTGAGCTATCCCGGCTCATCCAAGAATTTAGTAATCCCAAGTATAGCAACAGTTTGCTGTAACTGCGACTCATTCCATTCAGTACAATGTATATTGATTTTTTTACGTAAGCTGGTGCCAGAGAGTAGAGGTCCTCCTTTATCTTCCTCTAGTTCTTGTTGTTGTTGTTGTTGCCTTAAAGGCACAGTACCAATGATAACAGGAACTTTCAGAAGTTTAATCGTCTTGCCCGTTGCCATCTTAGGTGAACATACTTGTAGCTGCAACATGCAATAATTCACAAAGTTTAATTTCCACCCATCACTGGGTTGCGACATGACATGCCGCAGATTCAGACGCACTAATTATTACTGAGGGTCCCCTACTAAGGGTATGAAGTTGGGTTCTTGGATCTCATACCAATTTCTATACATTCCCAAGGATTTTATGATTCCTCACATGGTCTTCGAGAGAAGAATTTTTATTTCTGGTAAGAAAGCAAATGTATAAATGAAGGATCTTCACATAATCCCTAGTTTATGATAAAGTATGTGTACTTTGTATTATTTAATGTCTCAGTGGGACCTGTGCTCTACCCCTGTGAATATCCAGTACAACAACTTTCGCTCAGCAGTTTCCTGTAATGTGACATAAGTAGCCAGTCTATTAAGGAGCTATGAGTCATCAGCCCAATTACCTTTCACTTGGGTAGAAAATGGATGGCAGAAGACAGCTCTGAATTTTGTGGGGTAAAGCCATAAGTGACCATCAATATAAAATGAAAATGAAAAGGTAGAATTCTCTAAAAGGAATCTTTCTCGAGATATCACGGTAAGAAGAAATTGTCAAATGGGGCGAGAGTTACACCAATCATAAGTAGTGAAAAAATTAGTGGCGATGCTGAGACAGACAGGCACGCACATGGAGGGTCGAATAACTATATAGAAACTGCAGGTGACACTCATGACCAAATGAGTTAATACATCACATGTCAGGATATACAACACATCAGAAGCGTAAAACGTCTGCCGACATAGAACGCAGCAGGTGCGTAACCAAGAGGGTGCATCGTGCATTCACTGACATGCAACCTCATATTCTGGATTACTAGCTTGCGATGTAACATATCACCTCGATGATCACCACATCAGCGTGAAACATCTGTCAAAACTTCCATGACATGGATTCTGTATCACCATATCCAAAACCATATGTTCAAGTGCTGGTGTCTCAGGAAGACAACTACAAATTGTTTATTTCCATGTACTTGAAACTTATTACTGACCTCTGACCAAGAAAAGTTATCATGCCACCACTTACATACAGAATGTACCGTATATCCATCAGGGAGCAATGAACAAGTTTAGAAGCTGCCACTGGAGGAATGTGAAGAGGTTCCTCCTTCCACACCTGTGACTCATAAGGCATAACTGACCCTCTCAACACTTCTGCAACAATTCTTTTGATCTTCCTGTGTCCTGTTTTGTGGTTGTATTTGATTACCTGTTTTCAGAGAACACGTTTTAGCCTTTCTTGAGCCTTTACTACATTTAATATTTAAAATGCTATATTCTGACTTCTCATACTTGTCCAGGCTTCACAGTTTTATACATCACAAAATTTAGCTTCACTTATATATGGTACAGTGGATTCCGGTTAATCGGGACACATCAGGATTAGAACACTTTGGCCCAGTTAAGCGGCTGCCCAAATTATGCGAAGTTCCGCGTAAAGAGTTAAAAAGGTCTGTTCTTTAAGATTTGTCCCAAATAAAAGGCTGCCCCGATTAGCCGATGGCCCAATTAACCGGAATCTACTGTGTATTTCTCTGAATGTAGAAGCTGTATAATATAAATAAATATCATACGCTCCCCAAATGCAGATCACTTACAAGAATCAACTACAAATTTCTTTTAAAATTCTGAAATATGTATGAGAATAAACATCTTCATCTCAGGGTCACAATCTCAGTACCCTGAGGACGAGGATGAAGGTGGTTCTCGAAACATTGGTGTTTTCTCCATTAAACCACTACAGTGCAGTGTCTTAAGGCAGACTAATTCTCCACCCAAAAAGTTCTACCAGATGTCCATAAAAATTTCAGAAATTACTTTTGTATCGAAACAGAGAACAAGATGAACAAGAAAATAAATGCGATGACTTGAAAGTAAGCCGAGGTAATAAAGAAGGCAGAATTATTTTATCATTTTGCACATGTTTTTTTAATGTTTTAACACAAAAACTTTGTACTTTTAGCACTGAAAGCACCAGAGAAAGTGACAACGTGATATTTGTCCGCACTTTAAGTGAACAATTACGTTGCACGTGGTATTATTTAGTATGGTGGGCATAACATATGAAGTTTGTCGTTCACTGTAGCAGATGCAGAGAAAACCAGTCAGGTTGCTTTTACCCCCTCCATATTCCCCTAACAATCTCCAGTAATCTCAAAGAGAATCATGGCTTTGTATTCTCAGGCATTACAAGACATTCAGTTCATTAATTAGTTAGCAATAAAATAAATGGCATAGCTCAGTTAATAAAATTTATACAAATGAATGGCATTCAGACACAAGTATCTGCAGGGTGGTTATATGAGCATCTTCTGAGTGCAAATAAGTTGTTCAAAAATGATTTTATTCGTTCCTTGAACATTAGTTTGTAAAGTAGAGGTTTTATGGTACACAGTAATACCAAATTAAATAGATAAAAACAAAACAGTTGCATATAAAATTAACTTTGCTTTATCTTTACATAAAACTTGAGGTGATTTAATGGAAATTTAAAATCAGCATTCATTTCATTAAAATGCAATTGTGTATCCTAATATAACATTGTTTTTTTTTTTCAAAATTACTACCAACATTTAAACACGTAAGATTTCTGAGGACGCACAATGACAATATGAGATGCATTTCAACACAATCATGAATGCTACTTACTTTTTTCCAGACTTAAATTAGTAAATGAAAGGGTGTGAATTCTGGTGATGTCAGTGACCACTGTTTAAGGTCTTTTCGTCTAATTCATTTGTTGTGAACTCGTTAATAAATAATACATTAAGAAATTTTGTAGTATTGCATAAACTTCACCTGTGACATGACTTAGAAGTTCATCCTTTACATAAAAATTATTTGTAAAAGTGTTGAAAACTTCTTCAGCGACTTATTATTTCTGTGCCTTTGACGTTATGTTTATATTACCTGAACCAATGTTGCTTTTACATAGCTGATTGGTTTGCTACGCAAATTGTTGATCTCTGCATTGATCAAGATTTTTTCACCGGAAACAAATCCTCTCCGTGGGATGTTCAACACCGCCGATATTGACCTACATTTGAAACAGAATAGGCGGCGACCATCTTGCTGTGCCCAGTACGTACGTGGTTTCTGAAACACAGTAGCGTACACCCAGTCACGTCTTCCTGCTGCTCGATACTTGTGAAACTGAATTTCCTAACTACAAATGCTAGTCTCTCTGCTTAAGAACTACATCAGGAAGGCATAACCAGAGTACTACATGTTAGAGATAAAGTCAGCCTAAAGCTCTGGCTGATTTATCCTTTGGAAAGAATCACTGGAGCCTCTTGGATAAGAGGACGAGTGGGCCCCAGAGCCATTCTGGATGTGGTGATGAACAGAAAAATTCCATACCTGCCATGAGCTGAACCTGAGCTAACCATCTCATAGTCATAACTTTACTTTATTAATGACCTCTCATATTGAGAAAGTGTAATTCAGTATTAATTTACTGTCCTCAAACACCATCGTCAGATTATAAAAATGTTTTCTTTGGTGGTAATGTGGAATTTAGCACAGGTGAGGAGAAACAAAATTAGAATCGTGTTGAAGATTTCTGTCTTCTGGGTTGTTGCGCCATGTAGTCTAGTCTCATCGCCCTGATGATGGAGGCAGCAAGGACCTCTGAAACGTCGGTAAACTTCTACCAGACTACACGGTGCAACAACCCAGAAGACAGCCATCTTCACACTCACCGCCGTGAAAACCTCAAATCCTACATAAACAATTACCAACATTACAATAATTAAAACATGTTTCAACCCCCTATAGAATCATTTTCAGGAGCACTTTTTTATTTTGCATTCTGATTAAAAAGGGGATATAAATTTTCGTGTCCGAGCTAGAAGGTAGGTTGGCACTTCTTATTCTGATATCCAATGTGTATGTTGGTCAGCCTGCTGAGTAAATATATAATGGAAGAGTGAAATTGGTGCTGTGCTGTCCTGTTCATGTGCCCTAGTGAATAAGAAACAGGATTTAAGTCTTAAAGAGACCTAACCTCTATTGGCTGTGCTTCACTGCCTGTTACATTAATATTGTAATTCAATATAATACATAATCTGGAAATTACATGAAAGATTGAACAACAACATACTACGTTAGGTGAGTGGTGGGTGTAATGGTTGTGGTTGTGGTTTTGGTGTTGGTAGTAGCAGTTGTAGTAGTAATTACTTTCGGTAAAGAATTAGCCATATTAACCTGACGCTAAATCAGTCGTCTTGTAGAGGTGAACAGTAATGGTAATATCAGATAACGGACAACACATAGTTCGTACAAACCCGGCATTTAGGGATTTCGTTGAGATCCAAAATATCATTGACAGTAAAAAAGGCCACTGCAGACTGAAGGCCACAGTCTCCTTTATCCATATATGCTGTGACGCTATAGCGCACAAATCCGTTCGGAGATTCAAATGATGCCGGTATATTCTGCGGCAACACAAACTTAAACGGGAAAGAATGTTTGCCCACGTTCATATGCTTTTTCACATCATCCATGCCTAAAGTATAAAACAAACAGATAATAACAAAAATAAATGCAATGAACGGATCAAGTGTAATTACATTTTTGTAGCTTTTTTTAAAGTTACACAAATTCCATGCTGTTCTTCAATTTATAATGTTTTACGTCCACATAAATCCAATTTTAAAATATATAAGACCATAATTTTGCCTGCTATCTCGCTGCAACTACCCAAGGTTAGGTTCACTAGTTCAGGGACTGTACTGGTACGAAGTCATTGTTAATTTGCCATATTAAAACATTCAATAATAATACAAATATCATTCTTCTCAGTTTTATTATTGTTCTTTTTAAAATGAAGAATGGTACTGTCACAAATTACGGACAGAGTTCATGTTAACTTAAAAACCAAAATATTAAGTCTTCTTTATTCTGGTCCAGTGGTACTCCAAACAAAGTTACGGGTCTGCAAGGGTCAAAAGTGGAGAATTTTATCCGGCCGGGACCGAGGATTATTTGGCCTAACCCAGTCCACATTCCTAAGTTTATCTACACATGTTATCAATATCCCAATTAAATCAGGCTTCCTCTTACTCCAGCCCGAATGAAGCCCGATCTATTTACAATCTGTCCTGACTATCGAATTATTATTGCATCCACTCTCATTCCCATAGCTACTGATTCATATTCTCCCTTTCTAATTTCTTCCTAATGCTACAACACACACCTTCAGGAACGTTTCTGGCACCTTTATATTCTATTTCTTTCGCTATAACTGTGATGTAATGTAATTTTTATATCACTGAAGTCGCCTAACCGATAATTCCAAGTTTCCATGGATCATTGAACTTCAAGCAAACACAATTTACATTAAGAATGCTCGTTTTCCCATGTCCCATGATGGCAAGCCTAGTAGCCAACCAGGAAATTTGTAACAAAAAAATAATTTTACGTCCAGTATAATTAACGACATGTGGCAACTTCCTCACATCACTGATATCAATGCGTCATAGCAGTTCACAACGAGATTCCGGGAAAAATGAACTGATAGCGGAAACATCAACAATCCAAACTCATATGCTATGTATTCGGGAGAAAAACATTACTGAAACTTACCTTCACTGTTGAAAATATATGCAACCTTGTCGAAATAGGTTTCATGTTTGTTGTCTTTGTCATTATTCTGCAGCACTCCTACTCCACTAAGACAAATTATAATACCTTCAAAAAAACAACAACACTGACAATAAATACTAACATATTACATTTACCGGTTACAAATACATTTTTAACCATCTTACTTGATATCCGAATCTCCGAAGTTACGTTTAAATTTATAAAACCGTTGACTTCTTGCTGGGGAAAGAATGTTTTCCGCTGATCATTAAAAGTGATGTACAACATGTCACTCGCATATTTTATTCACCAAACTGCTATCTCCAGCTCGATGTTCTTCGAATGTGCTACTACTCGTGTTCCAGGCTCTGTTTCCTGTACTGGCCGCTAGTTGCGTCTTATCAACGTGTTGACTAGAAAGAGAAATGCAAGTTGCAAAGGAAGCAAACACATTTGTATTTGTTCAACTTAAGATACTTGTCTATGGCAACCGGAGATGGATTAAGGCTCTAGCTAAACAGATAATGCACATTATTCGTAATGTTTTCTTTGCGATTTTCCTTATCGCATGGCCTTAATTTTTGTCTTTGATGAATATTTCATCAGATAACTCATGACACTTTTTAATAATAACCTTTTTTGATGTAAATACGTCTATAAGGAAGGGTCATTCGACAAAAACAGCATTACGAAAATGTGTAAGATCCAGCGCCGAGTCACCTTTAAATGTTCATTCCTCAGTAAGGGTAATGTAACTTATATGTAAAATGATCAGTAAATAAAAACCTTTAAGAATCTGTAATGTATTTTATTGTAATTATAATTGTTCATACATTTATTGTAATTTTAATGAACCAATGTGTACAATTTTCAATGCATCTGGCGCGTTAATTGCCCGCCTCTCGAAAACCGTAAGAGATGGATCTGGACATATTGCGTACGAAATACGTATTACGTCTTGAGCTTTCCATATCTGTTTTCAGATTTTACATATCTCAAATTGTTTAGGTTCTACAAACATTTATTTATACAAACAAAGGCGCATCGCACTTCACGCTGCTACTGGGTTGTGTTCCGCCATACTATGTAGAGATAACAAGATGGATGACATTGAAGCTAAAAGAGTCCGTAATGCAGCAGAATTCATGAGACAGTACAGGAAACTTAAAAAAATGAAAGTAATAAATAATGAACCTGAAGTTCCCCCAAAAAACCCAAAAAACTAATGCTGAACGTATGAGGGAATATAGAAATTGTAAGAAGCAATTATTGCAAGTTAATATTTTCATAAGCATTTTAATGAAAATATATTTGGATACGTTTGCAATGTATGTGATCGGTTATGGTTTGAAAAAGATTTGAAACAAGTTACTAATAGCCGTTTAGATATATTGGGTACGGAGTACGTATTTACGTCAGATTATCCGGAACCGTGGTTCCACTGTCAATTTTTTTTTTTACTTAATTAAATACCCGAAAAATGTTTCAAAAAGTGTTGTTGATTTCAACGGGATCCTTGTTTTGATTGTACCAGCCCTTCGTACGATGAGCCATTTAAAATATTTAAACAAATTGTTTAATATTTACGCAGAAAAGCAACATCAGTACTCATCCGATGAGTACGAGAACACAACTTTTAATGCAGGGCAGTTAATATGAATAATTTTCATAAAAGTCCATACATTTTCGGGGATGAATTATGCAGACAGTATAATGAATTCTTCTCGGGCTACTAGCCGTGCAAGGTGGTTTGATGGAGAAAACACCAACGTTTCGAGAACCATCTTTGTATTCATCCTCAGGACGAGAACGAGAAGAATTAATTATACTTCGTCACCGTGTAAGATTCAGATCATATATCCGGACAGTGTTCTCAGATATGTTCTTTGTACGCACTTTGTGCTTGAAACACACAATGTTTGTTGTCTGCACGGTACGGGACATGGAAATGCATTAGACAATCTTTCCGGCAGCAAAACGAATTGCTTTAAGGGGAAAAACAATATCAGCCTGACAAAATTTCATTTGGATGTTATTTCATTAATTTCGAGAATGCTAATGGCCCATTCATTGAAGTGGAAATAGCCTCCTAAACTTGCATTTTCTGGGGTGGGGTATGAGTCAATGTTAAGATTAAATTGATATCCATTTATGTATTATCCTCCGATCAGCGCTTCGATCTTCTACGTTGTTTCCTTTCTTCAGGTTTTCCGATCATAAGTTCACCTCATTGCTCATCTTTCTCACGTGTGTTATATGCCCTTCTAACCATCAGTTCCCACCCATTCCAAAGATGATATAGATCAAGATTAGTGAAACGCAGTTTCAAATATTTTTTCCGGAAGTGTGGATACCATTGCCCCCAACATCCGAAACTGAAACTAGAGGTTTAGAACCCATGTGTGTGAGGTGTTTCATAAATCAAAAAAGAATGGAATCCTTGTGACAATCTTGAATTGTGTTTAACTAAACTAAATCTTCCTATAACCGTGATTTTAAAAGTATTACCATGATGCGTGTCAGAGTTTATAGACAATCTTACCAACTCGTCATATCCCTCATAAATTTGTGGCGAAATTTTAAAAGTAATTTGTCTGTATGTATGTTCGTGATGCCTACTGACTGTTTTTTTTTAATAGAACATGGTCATAAAACTAATTCGTGTAAAGTTCAGATGGAAACCAAAAAATCTTCTGTAATATACGACCCTTCAGTTGAATATACGCCAGTCTAGTATTATGTTGGAAACACTGGGTATCACCTGTTGAGCACGGATGTCTCATTGTGTGAATTGTTAATGGCGTTGTTATGTGCTGTGAGTGTTGAAAGGGTGGGTTGGTACAGACGAAAGAAAGGTGATATTGTATTTGGTGTTGCATTTCTGTACCACGTATAAATTAGTACAAGCGTATTTTAAAAGACAGTACATTTTTATTCAATCTTCAGGTTTATTTTAGTAAGTAGCTCTTGTAATTATTTTGGTTGTACATAGAATAGAATAAAATTTATTACATTCCATAGATCCTTAATAGGTCTAAGCCAAGGATGCAGAATATGTCATAATACAGATACAATGATCATCATTAGCTGATATGTCTTTCAGTGTGAGTTGTCTTTTTCCATTTTTCTTTGTCATCTTGAAAGGACTTTACTTACATCTCAGCCCATGTCTGCTATTCTGTTTTTGTACATCTTTTCACACTCGGTTTTCCTAATGGTCATTTATTTGATATTTATTTTTAATAGTGATAAAAATGTCCTGACTCTACATGTATTCTCTGTAATGTATATTTGATTTTTCCTTACAAAATAAGAAAAAAGAAAAGCTTTAAACTGTATCCAAACTTTTGTTACATTTTATTCTTTGTGTATCTGTATCTTGTCAGTAAAAAGTGACTGCTGTTTTATACCAACTGATTTTTATAGTCAGCTGAAAATAAATGTAACCTCATGAAACCAGTATTGGACAATTTGAGGTTCTGACTGGCCAAATTTTCTTGTGGTTAACCAAATGGGCGTCACTGTTACAGGATCTGCTTGTTCAAAATGATGCAGAATGAACTGCCAGGCCGACCAGCAGTCTTGGCTCGAGTCGGCTCAGAATTGTGTGTTGCAAGTAATAAGGCCATGCATTGGTTGGATGCATAGACAGCGACAAGTACACCCAGTTCCATCAAGTCCGTTTGCTGACAGTCAGTTTATACAGCTTAGCTTACATAGAAAGATCAGGGTTGTCCATATTGATGCAAGTAAACATAACTCTAATGGCTGGTATGCGAATGGAACAGGCATAGAGACAATGGGACATACATCAGACCAAGGTCACAACAGTTCCAAACATAGAAATTCAGAATTATCATCAGAGGAATACTGGTTCACACGATGGAATCGGCCACTTAGGATATTAGACCCCTGTAGCTGTTCATTTAGGAAGTCTTGGAGAAATTCATTAGGAGATTCCAGATTGATATTAAATCAAACACACGAAGAAACTAACTATCGTACAAGCCAGATGTTGGATAGTGGTATGTTTTGTGAAAAGTATGTTGATCAAGAAGATAAAATGCCGTCCAGAAGGCACAAGCTATTGCGGATTGAAACCTATGTTGAAGAAGTACTTCAGGAAGTGTGGAGTGAAGTGTTTTTGTGTTTGTCGCAAATTGAACATTCAGTGAAAGATCCATCTCAATTAAAAATGAAAGATTTGCCTCATTGCATTAATATGCAACATAACAGTGGTTTAAAACTTGATAATGTTTGTAGAATGAGAGGTGAGTCAGTTGGCAATTATGAGTTCATAAATGATTTTAACTGTCAGACCCTAATTTCCTTCAATGAGACAGAAAACAATTGCCACATTGTAGAAACGGTTAATAATAATCCACAGGGAACAAATAAGCAACAATCGGTCAGTAGATCGTTGAAATCTGTTGGCTGTGTAAATCCTACATTTTTGGGTTCCAGTACTAATCCTGACCTTTTAGAACATCGCGTGGTTTGCCATTCTCCAACCGAGGACTGCGATACTTCTTCTCAGAGAAAACGCGTGCCAGGTTTCGATGGACAGGATACAAAGTATTTTGATGACTTTGATTCCGGTTTAAATATGGTCCCACCGGAGTCTCTTAATCACCGTACGAATGATGTCGGTTATCTGAAGACTGACGAACGTTTCAGCGCAGGTCAGCCTGCGTGCGCTATGGAAAATACTCAGACAGAATGTTTTACTGCCAGTCCAGATGGGATTCGGCTGACCGAAGAACAAGCCCGTGTTCCTGCAGGTTCACATTTTAATGATAAAATAATTGAAACCAAAGAAATTGCACAAACGGACAATCAAAGTACTTCTACCTCAGTAGATGCACACAAAAGTGAAGAAAGTGGTTTTGCGGACGTGCGAAAGTCTCAAAAGTCAAGTACGCAGCAGAGGAAAAGCAGGCAATGTTATCATACGAGGAATCTCAGAAGAGTGGTGAGTGACATTTTCATTATTTCTAGAATTGTTTTGTTAATAATGAGCATGGTACTCCATTGCTTTCTGTGAGTACCTTTATATTTTGCTATAATTGTTTGATCATCTACAAACAGTAGACAGATCAGCGTTATCGATAATAAAATATTGGTAAGTTAGGTTGATATAAATCATGCATAGGGCACTAATGCCAAATGCGTTTCGACCTCAAGAGGTCATCATCAGTGACAAAAAAAATTAATTCATGTAATACGAATCAAAAAGGTTTTGGTTTTATACAGATCATAAAAGGTAAGTACTTTACAAAACTTATGTCCCACCTCACTGGATGTTGATTGCACAGGAGTTATTGTATTAAATTGAGCACTTGGCTTTTGTGTCGACTGGCGTGATTGCCGTTGTTCGTCTACGGTGAGCCGTGGTTGTGTCGTCCGTGCCTGTGAACTTCAACGATGCATGGACGTGGCTCACGTCATAGTAATGATACTTGGAAATTTGGTGTGAGGTACAAGTCATGTTATAGGGCTTAAAAAGTCTTTGATTTTGCTCCACAGAAACCATTGCTTTATTTTCTGCACGGAGTCGGGTGCTCGGCAGACCTGTGGTCTGCGTTGCTGCGGCACTTCACAGCCGCTGGATATGAGGTATTGGCACCAGACATGCTGGGTCATGGTTACAGCGCTGCTCCTGATAATGCATCTGCGTATAGATTCCATCGTCTTCTGAAGGATTCCATCGATATATTCGATAGATTTGTAGAAGAGAATCGCAAGTGTGTCGTCATAGGACATGCGTATGGGTCAGTTTACATTTTTAATCCAATAGCAGTAGAATCAGAAATTTCTTAAATTCTAAGCTTTTATTCTTTTATAAGTCAGTTGGCGGAATGTACTTGGTGTTTTTCATTGGTTGTTGTAGCTGTAACCAGTGCTTTAGTAATGGTATCTGAGATCATCACTATGAGGTTTGCAGTTGAAGCGAAGAAAGAAAATACTTAAAAATGAAGAAACAAATATTCCACTGAAGATTTCTGTCTTCTGGGTTGTTGCGCCGTGTAGTCTCGCAGATGTCCACCAACGTTTCATAGCACTCGCTGCCTCCGTCATCGCCCTGATGACGGAGGCAGTGTGACCTCTGAAACATTGGTAAACATCGACCAGACTACACGGCGTAACAACCCTGAAGACAGAAATCTTCATACTCACCGCTGAGAAGACCTCAAATCTTACACATATTCCACTGATGGTATTTTATTTACTTGTCACTCTTTATGATAAAGTCTTGGGTTATTCACGTATTTATTTCACAGCATTTCATCAATATATACTTTTTTAATGGAGTGTTCTCTTATCGGCGAACATCGTGCCCTTGTTTTGTATGATATGGGATATCAGTCTAAAAAATTACAAAAATAAACTCTTTTTCTGCATCAAAGTTGAAGACGGCGGCTCATCTCAGAAAAATAAGAAATGACAGAGGACCGAAAATCTCATTGTCTACACAGATGAGAGACGAGTTCTTATCAAACGTGCCGCTGATATGACGACACTCTTCTAAGAGTTAATGTGAATTGAAGTAAAGGTCAAGGATTGGTAGTTGTTCGTGCAGATGAGATGGGATCCATTCAGGGTGAAAAATTGATATGTGATCCTAGATTAAAATGTATAATAAGATGCTGCAAGAGAAATGCATCTCAGATATCCTCTCAGGTTCCGCCATTATTCGTAATCCTTTGTATCATATGGTGCAAGAAGATAAGGTGCGCTCCAGCAGTTCTTGTAAAGCCAAAATTCAGGATTTACTGATGCATAATAATATTAAGTCTGACCTACATTAGCTCAAGTCAGTACAGTGACTGGCTACGGACAGGATCAAATGAAGGCAAAAGAATTCGATATAACAGTTTAAATTTATTTTTTGCTATTTACTTTCTTTTGGAGGGTTATAGGGGGGGTGGGGATGCACATATTAGTTTTAAATGGACTGACAAGTTCTCAGCTTTGGTTTGTGATTTTCAACATTTTTACAAATCCTGCCGTTGAAAGAGGACCTGATTGTTGTTGTTGTTTGTGATCAGGTGCAGTCTTGCTGCCGCCATTGCTCGTTACAGACCGCAACAAGTGAGCCATGTGGTGCTGATCAGCGGAGGTGGACCAGCACCCCTCGCACCCCGAACAGCCGATAGTCTTCCTCCTTCTGTGTCCCCATGCCTCCTGGCATGCATGAAGCCTCTTCTGATGTGCGGTTTTAGAAGGTAGGTTTGTTTCAAGCTTTTCAGTTGATGTCGACTACGACACACACAAAGTTGCTTGAACAGATTGTGACTCTCTGGTTCCTGCTCAGTTTTTCAAGACGTTCTTTGCGTAAGAAATAATAAATGTCTCTTCTTTGATAAAATTATAATTTATTGAAGTGTTTATTTTAATGATATGTTGTATGAACAGTGCAATTTGGTATTCATCGTTTATACGTTTGTCGGTACGACAATTCGCACGTTATATCATTAATTTTACGTGCAGTTGGGGTCGTCTTTAACTTTTTATGTAAAACTGTTCTTTTATATTTTCTATAAATTACAAACATTTGAAATAATTGCTATTTTTTGTGACGTTTCAGTCCGTGGCATCGTATATTCTTATTTCACACGGGGGGGAAGTTACACGTGTGATATTTAATGAGAACTGACAGCAATTTATTGTGCTCTTTCTTTATGAACTACAATGATCCTGTTGCGCTACAAACTTGGTGTCTCAGTGTTAAAAGTTGGCAGTGTGCTTATTATTTTAGTATAATTTCACTCTTACCAACATTCTAACATGTTATTTCTCTCTTGTTTGCTTATCCTTCAGTACCTTGCTCTCTTTTAAAATGTTTTGTTATCTTACGTGTATCAAAATGTACGCTCCATGCAGTATTAGTACTGCTGTGTGCTGATTTTGCGTGCATCTCCTTGTATTCCAGGAATATCCTGTATGCTCCCTGTGGTAAACACATCGAGTCATGTCCTTCGATGAGCAGAGGCATGCCGCACTATGTTCTGCATCATGTGGCCCAAGGCCAAGACTGGCCGGAAGGAGATGCCACATTCTATCGTCGCATCCTCGCTCCAACGCTGCTCGTTCACGGTCTTCAGGATCCATATGTTACTTTGGTGCAGGAATGTGAGATGGAAAGGGTAAGTAGACTCATGAACAGATAAGGGTTGTAGTATTTGTGATAAGTAGTGATGAAAAATTTAGCAAACGCTCAAAGTTGCAGACAAAACATTTGGTGCTTTAAATATGCAATGAGAAATTTAACGTAATAACGGTTTGCGTGGTCAACGTGTTTCAACTAAACAAGCTTTACTGTAGGAGTCTGAGGAAGTACATGATCATCCATTGAAATTTTTACCGAGGTTGGTCTGCCTTTTCTGTACACCAATAGGCACTACACTTCTGCCTAAATTGACTGCAATTCTGCTTGTTATTTATTTTAATAATGAATAAAAGTGACAGTATGCCTTAAAAATTAACTATTCTTCTCTTCTTCTTCAGTGCCTAATATTTTCTTCCATTCTTCTCTATTTTCCCATCCTTCCAGAGGTATTTTCCTTCATGATTCTTGTAATTCTATCATTCCATCCTGGTCTCGGTCTTCCTTCTCTCTTTTGGTTGCCATTTCATAGTCTCCTTTGGTAACCTTTCCTCCTCCATCCTCTGCACGTGTCCGTACCAAATCAGTTGTCTTCTCTCTATCTCCTCAATTATATCTCGATCCATCCTCATGATTTTTCTAATCCTTTCATTTCTCACTCTCTCTCTTCTAGATATTCCAGCCGCTCTTCTTAGGAAATCCATTTCCACTATTCTCAACTTTTTTTTTTGTTCCGAGAATTGCCGAATTTCTGCTCCATAAAGAGCCGCGCTTTGTATCATCTAACTATTATGAAAGTAAAATGTCGCTAATGTTTTTACTATTTGTCGATGACCAGATAACAAGTAATATCAGAATATGCATTGAGTTACTTAAATTACACGTCAGTAAAGAATATAACACAGACATAGACATTTAAGATGAAGTTTTTTGCAGTGACGAAGCATGCCTCCACGTAAGTCGATGTGTTTTTATCCTGAACATTTGTATATAGAGTGTTCTGGATTTTGAGCATCACTACAAAGACCCTTTGCTGGGTTGCATCAGACTTGAGGAAAAGAGTGAATGCATTCATCGCTGAACACAGTGGACATTTCCAGCATTTGATATAACTTCATTTTTTTTTTATTTCAGTGTAATTTATTTTTTGAAAAACAGGACATTTGTCAGGAATGGATCACATCACTTTTCGATCACCACGCATCAATCATTTCATTGTGAAATTAGTAACTTTCATCAAATGCTTTGCATGCTCTAGAGAAGGCATGAACCAAGAACCTATTTGAAAGTTTCATGAAGTACTAGCAGACTTTTCCTGTTGTATCCCATCCAGTTTCAGAAATGGCATGATCGCAAATTAAGAATATACAGGTGTTCCAAAAATGTGTACGTACACATCCATTTTATGTCAACATTGTTTATACATTTTTATGGGACACTCTGTATAATTTCTCAGAAAGATGCACACAACATCTGTGTCTATGTATAATTTAAAGTAATGCAAGATAATGTAATAAAATAACAAAGATTATAGTAAATGTCCGTATTGGATGTACTCATGTTGTTATAATTATCAGAAATAACAAAGAGTTGCGTATTGTAGAGGGGTCCGCAGTGGCCGCGCGATCTGAGGCGTGTTCTTCGTGCCACTTGGTCACTGGGACCGTGGGTTCGAATCCCACTCAAGCCATGAATGTTTGTCCGCGTTGTCCTGAGTACAGGTAGAGGCCTTGCGATAGGCCAATGCCTCGTCCAAGGAGTCCTACCGAATGTCTATAGATCGAGCCAACGTAAAGTTGGGATCCGCAGTGCTCAGGCACTTGAAGAACGAGTCGTTCCCAGTATCTATTGCAGAAGGCAGCGTAAATTTCCTGTGTGGGCTGTGAATTTGAGAATAAATTATATTAGTATTCATACAATTTTAGAGGAATTTAGTCTATTTGACATCGTAAATAAATTCATTGACTACCAAATGAACTGCCTTTTATCATCTAGAGACAATGGAATAAAGTAGATTTGTTATAAGATTTTATCAGTGTACACCAAAAGACTGAATAAAAGATGACGACTAATTGTGAATAGAAACGCCGAAGCCAGAACAGTCTAATAAGACTAATTATGAAGCTACAGATGATTCCTTCTCAGCAAAACAGATATAGTGTGTATAAGACTGTGTATTTGTGGTATTACATCGTCTAGGAAGTCTCTTTACGATTGTGTAACTTTTCCGCTTGTAGACGATTCCACGTTCATTCCTGGAATTGATACCAGATGCTGGGCATTTATCAATGGTGGAAGCCCCTGTTCATCTCAGTCACATGATTCATTGCTTTATTGATTGGTGGAGTCGCTGATGTCTTACGTAAATCACTCGAAAATGCCTCGAAGCAGACTGGTACGCAGGTGAGTAAATATAAAATTTTTTGTTTGGAATTTTTAAAATGACCACTGATCTGTGTACATTTTCATCGAAGTTTGTCCTGACTAACATAATTTTACGAATGTTGTCGTAAAAATTTTCATGAGCTGTTAAATTTTTTAACAAAGAGAAAGGCCTTTAGAAGTAGATAAAGTAAAATATCTTCTTCTTCTATGGCTCTCCGGTCCGTGTTGTTGGCATCCTTAATTCTCCTCTTCCATTCAGTCCTCTGTTAAGTCCGTCTGTCCGAGGCTTTGATCGAGGTTTCGAAACATCTTCCTTTTTACGGTGCAAGGTTGTTAGCCTTGCGACCAACCCCCAACCTGGAGCACCAGGGTACCTGTCTTAGTCTGACCTCTCCCCCTCGACCAATCTGGCTAGGGAGGCCCTACCAGTAGCTCTTGGGGTCACTGAGGTACTCAAGCCCCACCACCACCACCACCACAAGGTGCAGGTATCATTAAGTGGGGGTGTGCTGTATATGTAATCTAATAATGGTACAGATATTTAGTACAGCGGATTCCGGTTAATTGGGACACATCAGGACGAGAACACATTGGCCCAATTAAGCGGCTGCCCGAATTATGCGAAGTTCCACGTAAAGAGTTAAAAAGGTTTGTTCTTTAAGATTTGTTCCAAATAAACGGCTGCCCCGATTAACCGATGGCCCAGTTAACCGGAATCCACTGTATTTGTGGATTTACATTGTGCCTGTACTAAATAAACAGTGTTTACGTGTAATGACCACTTAGCAGGTTAAGTTTGTGATTTGCAATCGGAGATAGATACAAAATGTTTTAATAACTGTCTTTAATTGATTTAAATTGGTTCAGTTTTTATTACAGAGATACCGAAGAATTTTCATGAACTTCTAGATCTCGTCGTTGGACGACGCGGAACAGGAAATGCACATCTTCCATTTTATATGATGCGTCAACATTTGGGAATCATCAGGTCACGTAAAAAAAATAGTCAGTAGCATATTGAATATCACATGTTTGTACAAAATATATTTACTGTACAAACGGACATAAATGACAGAGCATTTACGAGCAAGATGGCGTAACAGGTAGAGTTATCGACTGAGATGCAGACTGTCCATTTGCTATACAAGATGCAGCATAAATTACGGTCACATTTTATAGTTTATTAAGTACAGGTGAAGACTCTCAAAAGACGGGAATTTTTTTATTTGTAACCTGATACAGTCACATTTCTTAAAAGCAATATCTATTAGGTGACCTTGGGCTTTATCCCAGCTGATTTGCAACGCAGTCGAAACAAATTCTCCTCTCCTCCCTCTACTTTTGAAACTTGGTAGAAATGTTACTGTCTGTCCTGCAAACATTCTCTCCTTTACTACACTGTAAATATACAAAAAATTGTATAATGCGATGCTTTCATGGCAGCTGTCGTAAGTAACCCTGAGGATGAGGACAGAGATGGGCCTCCAAATGTTGGCAATTTTTAATCATCTGACATGGCTGATGGTCCTAGAAGATTGTATTAATAGAAACAATTGTGAACAAACTCTTTCTTGATAGTTGTGACTTGATATAATTTACTTTGTGGCGTACTAATTTCATGATTGTCATTGTACTCCTGACCTTCCATCACAATAAAAGGATGGATATGATGCCCACTAGCAGACGTTCATATTGTGGTTCTTAACAAATCCCTCTTTACACACTGTGAAATTACCTTTCATGGTTTGTAAATCAGTTGCAGTTGAAGATCGTAGCTGTCTTTTTAGAGAGATTATAGTTGTCTGTTAAATTGGGGACATGATCGTGGAAATTGACTGATTTTTTTATCTTTTGGAATTTGAACATGGGTCTGCAGTGGCCACGCGGTGTGAGGCGTGGGCCTTGTCCCGCTTGGTCGCTGGGACCGTGGGTTCGAATCCCACTCAAGCCATGGATGTTTGTCCGCGTAGAGGCCTTGCGACGGGCCGATCCCTCGTCCAAGGAGTCCTACCGAATGTCTATAGATCGAGCCAACGAAACGGGGACCCGTAAAGGGTACCGGAAAATGTAGAAAACATTGTTAAACCGGAAAAAAAGAAGAAGGAATTTGAACACTGTAACTTAAAGACTAAGGTTTTTGTGATGATTCAGAGAATCGCAAGCTCAGCCTCTTCTTGAAAAAACTTACTCTCACAAAAGAAGAACGTAGATTACAAGTATTTGAAAGCAGTGCTCAGGAAGGTATATGGACCTAGGAGGGATGAAATAAGTGGAGAATTTAGAATATTTCATAACGAGGAGCTGGGGTGAATTGTACGGGTCACCTAACATTTCAAAATCTAGGAACCTCCGCTGAGCTTGACGTGTAGTGTGCATGAGGGGGGAGGCAAGTGGTGCATACAGAATTTTGGTAGGGAATCCTTCAGATAAAAGACCACTGGGGAGACCAAGAACGATATTCAGGAGGTGGGCTGTGATGGCAAATGGATGGAGTTGGCTCAGGATCGTGGCCAGTGGCAGGCTCTGGTGTTGTCGGTGTTGAACCTGCGGGTTCTGTTACCAGGGAGATGGTTAGTTGTAATATCACTGTATTTGAACCCTCTATGACCCATGTAGTCTAGTATAGTATCAACATACTATAACTTACACACTTTCTCCTTCTCATTTCCCACCGCCTTCTCCCTTTTGTTTTGCAACAGTGTTACAATGTCTGCATTGGTCATGTGCTGTAAGCCTTGTTCACATGCAACACTCTGTAGCAAGTTTTCAAAACTTTAATAGCACACGCTGAATGAACTTCATAACTTAAATTATGTATAACTTACATTCGTATACAAAGGTTGATCCGTCACTGAATGCTACCAGAGGATTTTAGAATGTATGCCATTAAGGTAGTGACGAATGTTGTGAAGCTCTTGAGGATTGTGTGACCAGATGACAGGTAAGTTTTTATATGGCTGTATCCAGTGCCTCAAATGCTTCATGTAATAATAACAGTAATACAATAAAAAAGAGAAATACAACGAAAATTATTACCGAATTTTGTCTTTGGTGGATAATTTCAGTGTCCCTTGTAATATAGGATTAAAAGCTAAACAATGGACATATTGCTAATAAATATCACATGAAAATGAAACGCGAATTTTCCATAAGAGGGTTTAATCTCCACATAACGAAACTACAGTCAACATTTTATTTACTTAACCCTTTCACTGCTAAGTACTTAATACCTAGTGTAAACCCGCTGTACTGAATTAATTTTGCAATGCTCCTTTATGCACGTACACTGTACTGTTGTATTCTTTACTTTCAGGCTCTACATTTGTCAATACGTCTATAATTTCCTCATCTGTTATTCCGCGCAGCCTACTTCTGATAGACGCAACATTTTACTATCTGTATGGCGGCCAAGGCAAAGTGACATGTTGTTATGGGCAACATAGCGCTGTGTGTCTTGTGCTGCGCCCTATGAGCGATTCACAAGTAAACAGCGGCAACATGACAGTAGCCCAGTCTGTAAGGTTATCTACACTGCAAACTTCAAAATTCCTCCTCCTCACCCCACTACAACAAATACTACTTATGTACCATGAATAATTTTGAAACCCTGATATCGTGAGTAATATATGTCTCCGAGGAACTTGAGTCATCTTTAGGATAACTAACTTTTCTCCATCAATTGAAGGTATCCCAGCACAATGAGAGTTCCTTAAAAAATGGCATAATTATAATAAACATTTAATTAACATCAATCCATATTCTCCTTACTGAAATGTGCTGAAACATAAAGTAATCCGATATTCATAAGGATCAAGGTCAGTTGAGATTTGAAAATTGTCATTAGGAAACACGTTTTGATCACAGATATTTGTATTCAGCTTTATAATTAGTCTTCACACTTATACTTGGATCTAAATAAATCAATATTTTCAGTGACTTCAATATATAACATGGAAGAATAATGAAAAGTTCCACGCATTTACCACAGTCACATAAGGAAAGGCAATTTTTTGATTAATACTCATTTGTATAATGTATAGACTGCTACAACCTGAGGTTCAAAAAATTGGTATAATTCAAATAATAATAATTCCTCAAACCAGAATAAAATTACCGTGTTTAAATGATGGCAATCTGACAGTCCCAACATTTTGCACTATAACAAAAGGAATGGCAGAATACAATATATAACAGCAGTATTCATATCACTGAAGGCAGGATCTGATAACTAAAACAACTGTATGAGTAATTGGTGGGGCCTTTTCTTGTTCCAACCAGTTGTAGCAGCAGTTTTCGGTCTGGCGGTATTCAGAGTCTGTATATTATATTTATCATTGGTTTCTATTATTATGTTACTGTTGAAACTGGATTAGTAGCCAGCTTCTCAAAGCGGAAGTATGGGTTCCTCCCCCCCCCCCCCCCCTCAATCTGTGTGCTTGTTACCGAGTCCTTCGCTTTTCCTGTCAGTATCATTCTACCGCTGTTTCGTGTTTATTTATGTATCTTCTAGGAGCTGTGCAATGAGCCCACTAAATGCCCAGTTCCGTAAAGACATTGCCTCAACCCATTACAAAAAACTCAAGAACTGATGTACTCCGTGATATTTTGATATTATTTACGTAGAACATTCTAGACAGTGTCAAAACCGTAACTTCAATAGACTATGATATAGTTGCAATGTTTGGTGAGCCATCTTGCGACAAACTATGAAAGCTCTCATTCGATATCTGATCCTGGTGGTACGCAGGCGTGCTTGGCATTAGTGAGCGTTCGGTAGCAAGTGTTGCAGGCCGGCCGAGCAACATATCAGACCACGAGGTGAGTGTAGTCGTTCTCGTACTGCGCGTTTGTGAATGAGTGCGTGTTAATAAAATTGTGCGGCGGTTCCTTGTTCCCATGCGGAAACTTAGTGAGGTTCGTGTGCGTTGAATTTCGTCTTATTATACGTTAAACGTGTTACCGGGCGAGCTCGACTTGGATATACGGTAGTTGGTTCAAAGGTTCCATTGCATTCGCGAGTGAAAGTGTTGCCGTTGCGCGGATCGGCCATATTTCGGCCCGACCCGGCTGGTTGGCTGGGAGAGTAAACTGGGCTCAGGGTTTAGTAAAGAGACACGCCCCACAATTCCGAATAGTAGCTTACAGTGCGTATGAATGTGTGTGTGTGCTTACATGTGACGTTAATGGTTATGTATAGCCGTAGTATCTGTGACCACGGAAAGTGAGTGACAAGTGAGGAGCTCAGACAACGGGAGAGAGAGAGAGAGAGAGCTGCACGCAAGCTGACCGGCGGACTGACTGTCTGGAGCGAAACATGGCTGACGACGAAGTGTTATTCGATGACGTTTACGAACTATGTGAAATCATTGGCAAGTAAGTTAAGAAAACAACTACAGTACATTATATATGCACCGACTATAAAAAATAGCATCCCTCCATGCCCAGTTTAACTCGTTGCTAGTCAGTGTTTTTTTTGTGGTTATGGTACCGGGGGCTATGAAAGCGTGTTCACATAAGCAGCTGATTTGTACATGTCGCACTGATTAGTATAATGCGCGCAAGCAGGCGTCCTTTGGTCGTCGTTCGCGCATTTGGTGAAGTGGTTGTTATGGAGAAACTTTATCAATCAGATTGCACGTCCCCATGAGGCAGATACAGGCAACATAATAAAATTCTTAAGCTGGTTAGGAGAGAATACTTTTTTACTGAAATTGAACACAGTTGCAGAAACAAGTGACTAGATTAATTGGTTTAGGAAATTAGATCCATAAGTATTTAAAAAAACAATCCTAGTGATGCATCTGACAAATTAATATTTGATGTTTCTGTATGATTTGCTCTTTGTAAATATTTGCCAGTTACAAATTTAATTTATAGTTTTTACGACATCGGAAATGGACGTATAGTCAATTGCTGAAAAGTTTATTGAAATCGCGTGTATGTCATAAGTAAAAATGTAGAGTCTAGTTAGAAGCAATGCTAACTTTATATATATGCAGAAATTGGTCATAACTAACACACAAAATATACAGATGTAAACAATACGGAGTTATTTATAATTGGTAACTATTTCATACCAATACATTTTGCATTGAAGTGAAATATTTTGTAAACTGTTGAATATTATAGGTGCATATTTTACCAAGAGCCAATTTAATGAAGAAGCTAGGAGGCAGAAATACTAAGCGAGGAATTTATACAAGTATTTACAGTATTAGATGTAATTAGCTTCAATGGAGGTACGCTGCCCATTTATAAAGGGGAGATACTGTCAATTTGTTTTGATATGAGAATAAAGTCTACATTCCACTTTTAAAATGGGAAGTTAATTTGTGAGAAGTTGATACTAGAGTATGGTTATGATAGTTAATAAATTACGTGAGTAGGAATCTCCAGCCTGATGACTGAACTAGTCAGTTGCCGAAACGTCGGATATTAAAAACTTTTGACGATGGACAGTTTAAAGAGTAGAACATTTGGATTTGACTTCTGTAACTATTTTCTAAAATTTTTCAAAACATTTTGACAGCTGTTTTTGCTCTGGCTAGCAGGATTTATGTTATACGAGTAGTCTATTTTCAGGGGAAGGAATGGAATTTGTTGTTTTTTTCGTTGTATTAGTGTTTTTTGAGAGAGAGACCTTTTGAAGAGGCGTTGTATAACAAATGTCTGCAAAGAAATGTGATTATATTAACAAAGAAGTTGTCTGTTAAGTCAAATTCAAGGAAAAGTTTTTTTTAATGTAGATTTGTCGATTGCAATCTTATTTTTGAAGCACCATTATTAAAATATTGTAAACACAAATTCTTATTCAGACATATTCTCTCTTTATACATTTTAAAACTAATTACGTAAATGAAACTGTCGGGTGAAAATTTAATTACGTGTATATAATACGTTTTTCAGAATTCAACAAATTTACAGTTTAGCCAACCTGATCGGAAAAAACAGGCCTAAGTGCTATTTATATTCAAAAAGAAGGAACAGATAAAATCCTGACGAATATCATCGGATCTAATTACAGTAGACGATCTTCTAAAAGCAAATGTTCTTGGGGTTAAGGATAATTTTTTTTCTACGATATCCAACGATACGTATCGAATTGTTGAATTTTACCACAAAATGTCGCTGCGGGAACTTATAGTTTACGACGGGAAAATAAGAATTGTGTAAGAAATTGTCGCTCTGCGTTTTCGAATAGCATGAAATAGAAAAAAATTCTTAAGCCATATTACGTGAAATAGTTGTGAGAAGTCCCTGCACGCTTATAGAATAAAACCTTAAAATAGAAAAGGTAAGTTCATTTCTTGTACACAAGAGGTCACTGAAGATCATTGAACGCGTAATAAATCGTCCGACTCATTCAGAAGGAACGGATACGTCACGACCCATCGGATTGGAACACGTGAACGTCTATTTGAATGGACGTTCTCATGACGTCAGAAAGATTTCACCGTTTATGTGGGCATTTTCAAATATGCAGTATTTTAGACTTCGTTCTCAGACGACTCGACAGATGATGTTTCGTGGACCAAAATGGATACGTTTTGTAATTTAAATGCATTCGGCCAAGAATGAAATTTTCCAGTCCAAATTTCTCCGTTATTGACTAAGACACGCTCATTTGTTGTCGAAGGGCAAATTGTGTGTTTCTCCATTCATACGTACGAAGTACTTTCCTGTTATTTTGGTTTAAAATTGCTTCAGATTATCCCGGATAAGTAACTGTCGCAAAGCATCCACTGTCTTCTAAACCGAAACTGTGTCAGATCTGTTAATAATTTAGGAACGGCCCTCGTAAAATTGTAACTTACAGACTACTAAAAATGTAAACATTCTACAGCTGTTTGGCTTGTGGAATGCTGTTTACTGCGTATAAGTCTAACCCTGAAGATGTACATGATACGTTCCTCCGAACGTTGGTAACAACACGAAAGACAATCCACATTTTCAAGGCCCCAAATCTTATATAAAGTGAAACTTCTCACACGTCAGTATGGAACGTGAAACGTAATTAATTTTAAAAATGTAATCTCAAATCTTGAGGAATAACTCGTAGTCACTTGGATATCCAAGGAATTCCCCGCACTTACACCTTTTATGGAACTCGAAGGTTCACTGCCGTGTTAACAACAACTAACCCGAGCCATTTGAATCCAATCTTCACGTTCATATTCCATTTCTAGATGATCCGTTTTAATATTATAAAGTTATATGTGAGAAGGTCTCCTAAACCTTGAGGGTTTCCTACCAAAATCTTATATACCTTTCTCCCTCTTGTGTGCTACGTGGCCCGCCCATCGTATATTCCTTGATTTCGTCAACATTCGGTTAAGAGGGCAAATTTTGAATCTCCTCATTGTACGAATTTCTCAAACTTCTTGTAACGTACTCAACATTCTCTTTAGCAATCTGTTTTGAATACAAGAGGTTAGATGTTATTTTTTATAGAGTCCAGGCTTTATATCCATATGAAAATAAATACTAAAAATATGTATAGTTACGTGTATTGTGTGATCTTTCAGATACATTAGATTCCGATTAATTGGTCCTTGGATAATCGGAGCAGACGTTTATTTGGGATAAATCTTAAAGAACAGACCTTTTTAACTCTTTACGTGGAACTACGCTTAATTGGGACAAAGTGTTCTAGTCCCGATGTGTCCCAATTAAACCGGAGTCAACTGTAGTAAAGTGGGCAGAAGATGTGAAATTTATCGTCAGACTAGGCGATTATCTTAAGTTCTCTTCTGGGTTTGAAGAAGTCGTTTTATACCCAGATTAATATCTGTACACTCTTAACATTATTTATTTTAATTTTATCTTAGGGATTAAGGAATTTACGTTCTGTGCCAAAGATTTTCGGTCCTTGGCGTGCCAGATTCGGCGTTGGATTTTCTGCATGCCTTCCGCTCGTCATGTCACAAAATCAAAATTTTTTCTGATATTGGAAATTCGAAACGTGAGCTTAGGATTGCCATCGTCACTTTCATGATAATGAATGGATCTAAAGTCATTTTTCTAAGGCGAAGGAGGGTAAGTTACCAAATCGTATTTAGTCAACATTCCTCATGAAAAATTGGTAAGGAAATGACTTCAGATAATTTGTTACGTAGAAACGTGTAGAACCTCGTCATTTACGCAAAGCCGGAACACAATAGGATGATGCCCTTCGATCAATCGATTCTGTGACTCAGTAGAGTAAACTCGGGTTAAACTGCGTCCCGCGTGGCACAGAATTTGTTGATGATTTTGTGTGATATCAGTACTGGACGTGACGTCTGTTTCTTAGGCAGTTCCGCGTCCGAGTACATTCTGATATGCGACTGCTGTTAGATTAAACATTTCTTTGAGCGTGGACACGAATTGTTCCCTCCCACCAGCGCCGAAATTGTCGTGAGTAGCCAAGCGCAAAATTAACTTTGCTCTAAGCAGCAGTGGACCGAGACTTAAGGCTTCTGGAGTCTGCGGTGATCCATTCTGGTTGTATCTCCACAGCGAAATGGTGATGAGAAATATCTCATTCGTATTTCTGTCGTAAATTAAAAATTGAGCTGTTGTCCGGGTAATGTGTTAGAAGTTTACTGACTCATCGTCCTGATGATGGAGGCAGCAAGGACCTCCGAAACGTTGATAAACTTCTACCAGACTACCTGTTATCAGTAGTGGAGATGGGAAGTAGGCGTTTTGGTTTCATGAACGTCGGATAAGTAGCCCGGCTTAATATCGGCCTCGCAACATTTACAGAATTTTTTTTGTTTTGATGTGAACTGAAGCTTGTCGTGGGGGCGTTTAGCTCAGAATTCCGACAGTTTCGATAGTAGACTATGACCGATGACCATTTATCATGGTCAGAAATACTGCACGTTAACCTGTCAAGACCGCCATTTTCCGTGCGATTCTAATAAAGTGCGGACTTTTTTTTTAAAATGTGTGGTAAGGATTTTATGAACAGAAACGCGTATCATATTTACACCTGTGAATGTACGGTGTGTTTATTTAGGCCACGGTGATCCAACTGTTTTCGTACTGAATTAAATAGCACAAATTTCTGTAGAGTTAGGTAACATTAATTTAAATTTGTTCTTGAAACAGCTTGTACCTTGTAAGACTTGAGGTTCTCACAGCGGTGAGTATGAAGATTTCTGTCTTCTGGGTTATTGCGCTGTGTAGTCTGGTCGATGTTAACCAACGTTTCAGAGGTCA